AAGTAACAACAAGATCAGGTGATTGATTCAAGGAGTTACTTCATCAATACATTATGGAGGCTCTTATAACAAAGATAAAAATCAAAAATCAATGATCAATGATTTAGAATAAGCACATCAAACTTCATCAACCAAGTCAATCACTTGAATTATGTCTGTAGAGTGTTACACACTGACTACAGGGAGGCAGTACAGCTGGCTGATACTGCAGGCAGATAATAGCAGTGTTAGCTCAATACCAAAAGCAACCATGTGGGGCAGTATGGAGTTGGGGTAACTGCACAAGCTCAACACAAGTGGAGAAGAAGAAGAGAAGAGGAAACAGTCATCCAACTAGCCTCTTGTGGCTGTGAGGAGTTGGGAAGTGTGCAGGAAGGGGCCTTTAGGCTCTGCCTCCTTGAAGGGCCTTATCTGCTTTAGGCCAAATGGTCAATCTCTCCACTGACAACAAAGGGTTAACATTTCACAGCAGGCTGCGTCTGCACCCTCAAACATAGAACTTTACACCATCTGCTCAGGCCGATTGGTTCAATAAAATCATTTACAGGAACAATGATCAAAGTGGCAAATCCTTAAACAGCAGATTCAACTGCAGACTTAAAAAAAATCACAAATGCGGCGATTTGTGAACACAAATTTTGTCTGAATTCAATCAAACAACAACCTCCCACTGTTACAGTGGTTTCCTGTGACAGGTAGCTAATCTGTCAGGGGAAAGGAGGAAATCTGAATCCCATATAGTTACTAGAACCTCGTAGCAGACTATAGAGACTTCAGGGGCTTGAAACCACAGCTCGGAGCATCGCGAACACTGGGTTCAGCCAAAGGCCTTAAATACAAGCGTACGGCGACGCAACAATCGTGCACTTAAATATTGGACAGTCTAGACAGAGCAGAAGAAGCAGTCTCACTGCTACTCAGAACAACATTTCACGCTGTCCAGCTCAAACACAGACTACAGGCATGTAGTACAAAAGTGTGTGAAACACAGAGCATAAAGGTTTTATGCATAGATCAGGAAAACATCAGAACTTAGTCAAGCAACTTCAGCAAGCATAGCATTGATTGTGATCAAGTCTAAAATAGCCTGGAAATAAGTTTCTCTCATCAATTTGGAAGGCTAAGTTTTAGGTTGTCTGTTAGTATCCAGAAGTTTTGTTTGAAACGCCTCACGCAGGGGCACCAAAATATATGTAGTGATTTGAAATGAGCCTCACAAGGCCGCACCAAAATAATACTTGGCGATTGGAATTTATAATAAATGTCTGAAGATTAATAATCTCAAATTATGACATTTATGCACTCGTTGAAAGGGGCACCACCCACCCTTAATGGTGGGAAAATAAAGAAAACAAAAGTTTAATTCAGAAATCAAACATCAAGTCAGTTTTAATTAATCAGTCTTAATTAATCAGTCTCATATCTTAAGTCGAAATTCTAATTTCAGGGACTCCACTTCTGGAAGAACACTAACAGACAGGAACTTAGAAAAATAATGATCTGTTTATTACAGGATAAATGATGGTACAACACACATGCAATAAATGATGATAAGATAATGAGGATAAAATAATAATAGGTGAATAAATAAAGATTCTGAGTCAGGCTAGGAGCACTAAAGTTAATGATAGTGAGTGAATATGCGCTAACATATTAACCTACACTAACTTTAGTGTCGAGATAAACTCGGATGTGGATTTGGAGGAATCTAAGATTACCAGAATAAGAGGATATCTGAGTTGAACGCAGGAGACAGCACCAGCCCTCTTTAGAGCTCTGGAGGTTTGCATACTTAAGTGAGACTGGTCCTTGGAGAAGATGGAGCAGGTTCCGAAGGTCCGGGCTACTGGCGGTTCGAGCGGTTCAGCTCAGAAGACGACTGAAGTCAGCCGAAGGATGAGCCAGGAGTTGCAGCACTCAGGCCCGAAGCAAAAACCAGCGCCTGTGGATCCTGTGGATGCTCGTTTGGGTACTTCTTTAGTCTCACTCAAAAACTCTGGCACAGAGGATGACCTGGGCCTGTTGGATTGCGTTCGGAGGTGACTTTGAAATCACGCAGAAAACTCAGAAAAACGAGGCTCGAAGAGCAGAGAAAACTTTCAAAAATGGCTTCGCGAAATTAAAGAAAATCAATCAAAGGCTTAATCTTGAATTGCTATGTGCACAAAAAGTTGAAGTTTCAAAACTTGAACTAAGACGATGTTAAAGAAAATTCAACGTGAATCAACACGTGGCGTAAAACTTAGAAGACTAAGAAAAAGTTCTAAGAGAAAACAAAGAAACGCACCACAGAAGGGTGTGGGCAGAAGAGAAGGGGCATAAGAGCCGGGGACAAGAGAGTCAGCAGAAGAGCAGAAGCATAAGAGAGAAGAGGAGCATAAGAGAGTGAGCAACCCCACTTCACTGGTTTTATCTTCTCACACTGGGAGTGGCTCCGGCGTGTGTGTGTGAGACAGAGGAGGGTCGTGTGGTCTTTGATTATTTGATCTAACTTATTCTTTTGGCTGGTAAAATAGTCAGATCTGATACTCACTCACTATGATTAATATCATTGAATGCTTGGTTTCATGACAAATAATTTGACACTAAACACATATGAATGAAGTGTAGGATCACATCAAACATTCTCATTATGTTTAAAGTATCACATTGAACATGCTAAATTACTCTGAAATGAAACAGATAGTAACACATGGAAACTGTGAACAACAAAAGAGTAAATACATGTGAATGAACGTCATCATGATTAATAATGGATTCTAAATACTCACATTCAGGTTATTCAATGACATTATAACCACCTAATGGTTAAAAATACTAAATAAACGATTAAAATATAGAACAAACATTTCTAAACCATTTCTGTTAATTAGAGCTAAGTTATGAGTCACAATCAATAAATTTAACTCTTAAAAGTTCATGAAACAGTCTGAAAAGCTGTTGGTCTAAAGATATCGGGAGTGATAATTTGGCTTCTGAAGCACATAGAAAAACGGGAAACATCTCATTTTAACACAAATTTCATGATTAGACAGATTAGTACATTGCTGAATGCATAAGATGTCAGGATCAGTCATTTGTATTCTTTCACCAAAGGAATGTAGTCTTTATCAGTGCATGGTCGAGCAGGGTTTTACGACCGAGGTCTGGAGGTCAGTGTCCCCCCTTTTCCTAGGGTCCGTATGTTCACACACTTTAAGACACTAAATCTCAAATGGGAGATCTGGGTTGAGACGTTAATGTTTATTTAGATGGTCAGCAAATGGAGTCAGTTTGAAAGGTAATAAAAACTCTGTCTCTGTTCGCCGAACTGACCAATCCTGAAGAGTCAGAGGTTTAGTCAACCTCCGGTTGGGTCACTTATTTAACCTGAAAGTGCAAACACGTCTGGAAAGATTTATATCCTGTTTCCTGGGACCAGATAAGGAAGCTTTCCTGTGAGGAATGTGTGGGTTTCACATCCAGGGTTGTCTTGATTGCTACATACAAAACCATCAGATTCGCCTGGCAAAATAAATCACAAGTAGTAAGCAGCAGTAACACTTACTTGTTCTTTATTTCTGGTCTCAGGGTCAGATTGTGGGTCCAAAACGCAGGCCTGTTTTTCATGTTTCAGTTTAAGTAGAGAGAGGTGACTTTGTACCATGGCAACAGTGCAGGAAGCTTCTGGACTGCTAGGGAGGTGGGGTCTTGAGGTGATAGTAGCTGAAATAAAGTGTTTTAGACATCAATCTAAGATTTTAGTTGAGTTTTTTTTTTTTTAATTTCTAAATCCTGTCAAGCTAAAGCTATCAGAAAAACAACATACAGCATAAAATGAGCCGAATTTCTCGTTTTACACATTAAGAGATACAATATCCAAAAATGTGTGTCTGGTGTCATTACTTAGCAGGTAAACACACCTCCAAAACCACAAAAGGAGACTGCTGAGACACATATACTGTACAAGAAGTGGTAAAAGGATGAGAACACCCTTGCCAGGCAACAACACAGAAGGGCAACCTTTGTCCTGTTTGCTTTATAGGTAAAAATATGAAAACAAAGTTATTTATTTGTGCTAAAACACCGAGCAGAGGAACACATAAGGAGATGACAAAGATAACAATTACACTAACACTTACCAAAGTTCCTTTTTGGTCCTGAACTTTGCTAATTTTCATCAAACTACGTTGTAAAAGCTGCTCTCACTCACACTAGCTAACATCGTTGCTAACCGCAGACAGTTTCACAGTAACGCACCGTGTTAACGTGAAACTGCAGTCCGCGGGCCCCGCCATGTTGGTAAACACAAGAAACACGTACAACTCCAACTGAAGCTTTCAGAAACGTTCAGCGTAAGAGATGAAATACAAAAATAACAATCACAACAATTACATTAACACTCACCAAAGCTCATTTTTGGTCACGAACTTTGCTAATGTTCATCAAACTACGCTGTAAAAGCTGCTCTCACTCACACTAACATCGCTCCTAACCGCAGTTTCACAGTAATGCACCGTGTTAAGGTGAAACTGGAGTCCACGGGCGCCGCCATTTTGTTAAACACAACAAACACGTACAACTCTTGAACTGAAGCTTTCAGAAACGTTCGACGTAAGACATGAAATGTAACCGTTCAATTTGAAAGATGAAATACATAAATATACATAAATGTTCAACTTAAAAGATGATACACATAAATAAATAAACGTTCAACTTACGTCGTCAATTCGCCAAGGACGATCCTTCTTGTCATCGCGGTGAAAACTAAGGGCGCAATTTTCGTCTGAAGCCGTGGCAGCGCGACCAACCGTCGAGTTAAAGGGATTATTTCAGTAAAACTGTACATATATCGTATCCAATCTTTATAACAACACATAGTGTCAATATATTTACGACTCAAGTCAGCAGCTGGGTGATAAACGGGATTATTCATGGTGAACAGGTAATGTGTTCAGGTATTAGTCTGTTATTATGAGGATTAACCCAGACAATCACAATTTGACATCAGGGACACCACATTTATAAACCTTCATTTTTTATTGGCTCCATCATGAGACAATCAACTTTAACATGAAGTGGATTTAAATAACAAAAACTTAAACTTTAGTTGACAAACTGCTGCCTGTGGCACCAACACAAAACTGGACTTCCTGCTGTTAGAACAACAATGAAAAGCCTTTTTAAACCCAAATCAAACAGGTTCTTTTGGTTTATACAAAAAAATAAAACATCTGAAGGTGTCGCCAAAACAACTAATGATTCAATTAGAAAAGAAGGTCAAAATTAAACAACCTGCAGACAGATAAAGTGCTGTTAAACAGCTGATTCAAGCTTCATATGAACTCAATGGAACAGAAACTTCAGCCTGCAGGACGTAAACACAGGAAGATATTCTTTCAGTTTTCACCTGATGACACTGAGCTGCTTTTTCTCAGGAAACTGAACAACCGTTAACAAACTCAAAGCTGAGCTCAGTTCATTTATTGCTGAAGAAAGGGATTCATTATTATTGGAGGAGTCAGAGCGTTCAACTCCAAACTCTTCTAACTCAACGTCTGAAGAAACCTCAGAAACCAACTTTGACGGCTTTAAACGCCGAACAGAGGGGGGAGTAAAGCACTCGGTGAGTTACACAGTGTGTGCGGGTCCTCGGCTCAGGTAGGCCTTCATGGTGGTGATGAGCTCGCTCTCCTCCTCCAGTGTCAGGTCCAGGTAATCCTCCTCATGGCGAGAGATGTCCTCCAACACCTCGTTCACCAGCTCTCTGTCAGCTGAGGAGCAAAAACAGGAGTTACGACCGTCTCACACTTTTCAACCAGTTACATGTCCCCCAGAGTCAGGTGTGTGGTACCTGAGGAGTTGGAGGAGGTGCTGGGCTCCTCGGAGGAAGGAGAGGAGGAAGAGGAGGAGGTGGGCGGGGTCACAGAGAGGAGCTCTGGGGGGAGGACGCCCTGGTTGTCCAGCAGGAGCTGAGTGGCTGATTGGACGTCTCCGCCCATCAGTCTGAGAGCCGCCTCTGACGCCGTTCTGTCAAACCCCAGGTACATCAGCTGCAGGGACACAAAGGGGGCGGAGCCATCAACAAGGCCATTAACAAATTAACGCTGCACCTGCTAGAACAGCCAATCAGGTAACAGCTCCATAAATGAACGGATTACAAGACGTAGTTAACTTTGTGATACCAGGAAAAAAAAAGGTTCATCACCATCAATGAAGTACGATCAAATCAAATAAATCAAATGTATTCATCAATACTTCTGTCAGGTCAGTGTAAACATGAACACCTGGAGCTCTTACCTGCTCCACCCTCTCTGGACTGACCACGCCCTCTGTGTTGTTATTGGTCAACTGAGCAGCTTGGAGGATCTGAGGAGAAGAAAAGGAAGATGAAATGATCAGAGAGAGAGAGAGATAGAGAGAGACAGGAGGACAGACAGGAGGACAGACAGGTACTGACGGTGTAGGCTCGGTTCACGTCTCCATCGGCGTGGTGCAGAGCTCGACCTGCGTCTCTCCTGGAGAACCCGAGCTCAGTGAGGGTGGAGATGTCCTCCATCCTCTTACTCTTCTTCTGCCTCTCTCTCTGCTTCAGCTCCTCCCGCTCCTGATCAACACACGCACACACACACACACACACACACACAGGCATGGAGCGCTCACTCTTTTGCATCTATAGTTTGAGTTCCTTCATAACTAACAATACAATGTGTGTGTGTGTGTGTGTGTGTGTGTGTGTGTGTGTGTGTGTGTGTGTGTGTGTGTGTGAATCACCTGTCTTTGGTTGCTGATGTGGATGGCGGCCTCCTGCAGGTCGCCCTGACACGCTCTGAGGCCGAGTCGAGCTTCTCTCTCGCTGAAACCCAACGCCATCAGCTGAGCCATCTTCTCCGAGTCGGGACACAGACGGCTGTAGAGAGACTCCACCTGTCACACACACACACACACACACACACACACACACACACACACACACACACACACACAGTTTTAATATTCTGATGTCACCTGTAGATGAATATGGTGGATTTTAACGGCAGCAGCAGCAGGTTCAGGTGTTTTACTTTGGAGAGCTGATGTCGGGCCTGAGCGTCGTTCCCCTCGATGTACGACAGGAGACTCTGCAGCAGGTACAACCGCAGGAACAACACCTCCTCTCTGCCTGTGTTACCCTGGCAACACAAACACACACAGCATAAAACCATTAAAGGTGTTCCCTGAACGCCCCACAGTCGAACCCTCACCTGCAGGTTTTCCTGTCAAACATCTGGGCTGAGGAGTCCCTCATGTGTGTGTGTTCCCCTCACCTTGATCATGAGCAGTCTCTGCTGCTGCTCTCCGTAACACTGCAGGAAACAGTCCTCGGCTCTCTGCAGCCGACTCTTCCCGTCGTCCAGACAGGAGAGCGCCTCCAGAGCGCGATAACACCACACGATGTCTAGCTGCAGGACGGCGAAGTTATCCACCGAGGAGAGCAGGGCCGAGCCGCACTTACTGTCCACACACACAAAGGAATAGTTCAGAGTTTTTGAAGTGCTTTTGTATGAGTTAAACTAAAACCGACCCGGCTCTCTGACGACAAAACACATGCTGACATTTTCCAAACAGAGCGTTCACACCGCTGTTAGTGCTTTGAGTCAGAGTTTGTTAAAATGGATCTAAACGAGGTGGTCAAGCTGACCCCCGGTCTACAGAGGTTAATAGTAAACAGTCCTGTCTCAGAGCCGGTCTAACGGCCTCTCTGCCGTGAGCTGAGGTTTGTACCTGAACTGTTGGTCGGCCTGCAGCAGGTGACACAGAGCGTTTTCAAACTGCTTCTTCTTCATCAGAGAGCGACCTTTCTCATGGACACCCATGGCCAGGATCAGAGCCTGAGAACCACAAAGACGAGGACTCAGTGCGGACAGAGGACTGGAATCAAACAGATTTTCATCCTGAAGTTCCTCAGAGGAGTTTTAAAGTCACGTAAACATGTCTCTGAGTTGGTGTGAACTTCACCTTCTTCTCTGCGTGAGGGATCTTCAGAGGGTTTCCTTTCTGGTCAGCGATGTCCAGGAACGGTATGGTGTCTTCACTGCCGTCTGGGGGACAAAACCAAAGAGAGGCTACACTGTAACAACAGACACACAAAGACAGACAGACAGACAGAGAACAGACAGACAGGCGGTACCTCTCTCTGACAGGATCTGGAAGCCTTTCTGGGTCCTCTGGAGACTCTCGTTCTGGTTCCTCCTCTTCTCGTCCTCCTCGCTTGCCTGTTGCCTCAACTCGGCGTCGCTCACCTTCAGCACCATCACCTTACTGTGGTTCTTCACCCCCTGCTGGTCCAGATGTTGGTCTGACAGAACGAAAACACAAACAGACAAACTCACCGTCAAACCATCGTTTTATACCCTCTTCTGTTTTCTTCTGCATGGACCTCACAGAAGAAAGTTCCTGCTCTCTTTAGATCTGAGTGTTTTAACTGTTAACATTAAACACTTCCTGTCTGAGTCACCAGGGGGCAGTCTGCTTAAGCAGGATCTGGGTTTCCTGTCCCAAACTGTCCAGAACCAAACCTGTTTTTATGGTCATTGGTGGATCTGTTGGGACCTGCAGCAGGTCTGGACTCACCTACACTCAGAGTTTTCCCGTTCAGGATCAGTTTGATGTGTTTCAGTCCAAACTCCTCTGCAATCCTACAGGGACACAAACATCAGCTCAGCTGTTCGACACACACAAACCAGAGTGTGTGTGTGTCTGTCTGTGTGTGTGTGTGTGTGAGAGAGAGTGTGTGTACCTGTCCACCACCTCCTGAGCCTGAACATCCAGCCTGGTCTCCAGGTGAGTCTTAGTCTTTGGATCCTGAAAACAAACAAACAGGTCTGAGTCGCCTCATCATGTCCTCGTGATTATTTCAGCCTGTTTCATGTTTTAGATCGATTTATTCAAAAGGATCATTAAAAGTTCTTTTTTTTGAGGACTGTAAAAACATATTAATTTAGATAAAGTTGAGTGTGTCGGCGTGTTTCCACCTTCTTGCTGTCTCTGGGCAGCAGCAGCTCCAGCATGGCCACGTTCGTCTCCCTGAACGTCTTGTTTCCTTTCCCTCTCCTCACCGCCTGCACTCTGATCGCCTCCAGAGCGCCCCCTACCTCCTGCACCGACAGGCCCAGCAGAGGGGCGTAACGCTCCGCCAGCTCCTGAGAAAAACAGAAATACAAGACAAAAATCAGACAAATGTTAAAATACAGACGACAAATTTTGGTTCTGAGTGGAAGATTTCTGATTTTATTTGAAGTATTTTCATGCAGCTCTGAAAAAACGCTAAGCTGTAGGAACTGAGCAAGTGGAGTAAAAATTCAGATTTCACATGTAAAATATGGTTTTGACTCATCTGGACTTTTCCTCTCTAACATCTCTGAGTCAGCTGGTTAGTTCTCAGTGTTTTCGGGTGTTTCCGATGCTGTAAACCTCCACAGTCCTCCCCCTGCTGACCTGCATGTGCTCCATCCCCGGCTGGTTGTCCTCGTCGGTGTACGGCAGGTTCCACAGCTGGATCTTCTCCTGCTTCAGATGGGTCTTCAGCTTCGCCTCCGTGTTCTGCTCTGCCATCGTCTCTGAGGGAAAACAGGAGGAGAGGAGACGGAGAGGAGACGAGAAGAGAGAGACGAGAAGAGAGAGAAGAGAAAGTGAAAGTAATGTGAGGGATCCCCTGGCTCGGTGGACTTTCCTGTTAGTCACTTCCGTGTTAAACGGGACCAAAGAGGCCAAAAGGTCATGAGATGTCAGAAAAATGTGTCCCTGTAAAAGCACGTCTAGATTTTTTAATCATGAATGAAGTGTTTTTCAGTTTAAAGAGGTTTTCAGCTGCTGAAGTGTTTGACGATCCCTGTAAGTGACGTACCTACAGGAATCATATCCTAAACAAATATATTTTGGCTCTAACTCTGATTAGGATTTCTGCCATAATTGAGCAGCTTTAGGGCGGAGTTCCTCAGGGCTCCATCCTGGGGCCTCTTCTGTTTAACATTTTCATGGTCCCACCAGCTTATATTACAGACAACAACAACAAGAGCGACACAGACAACATAAAACCACAATGAACTTTGTAAAAAAATGAACAGGTTTTTACATAAAGAGGAATCAGTCTGTCCTGAAGTTGTAGAGATAAAACACTGACTTTTCATTAAAACTGAAACCAAAACCTGCTAAAACATGTGAACAAAGAAACTCTCCTTATTCATCCTTAAAGGGTTTAAACTGAACTGATAAAACTTTACCTAAAAGTCAAACACCTTTAACTACAAACTAAAGATTTATATTTATCTAAAAGATACTCACAGATTAAATCTATTAAACACTCACTCTGATGTTTTAATTTTACCTCAATGAATAAACTAAACATGTAACGAACTAAACAAACATCTTTATCCTGATTAAGGTCGTTTCTGTCTGATTTTAAGGACATAATTTCACATTTTCTGTCTCCTCCTCTGACACTGACGTTCAGACTGGGTTAGCTGACGTTACTCGTCATGTTACTCATCATCAAATTCACCTTATTCTCCATTTAAAATCAGTTTATCTTCCAGCAGAGGCTCTAAAATCTTTGTGTGAGTTACCTTTCTGTTACAGGACACGATGACAGACAGTTCCTGGGTCTAAAGTCTCTGTTTCAGCTCTGCTAGCTTTCCTCCTCTGCTCTGTGGAAAATGTTGTTTTGGAGTGAGTGAGTCGTTTCTGGGAAAGAGGTGAAGAAATACAGGAAGAGGTCTCACTCCGAGCACGTTTCCAGATCCGGATATTGACGCGGTCCTCAAAGGGGATCAAGCGGAAGCTAAGCTGGTGCGTCACAGCGAAGGGTGTCGTCTTTACATGTATAGACGATCTTTGATCTACTACGGTGACTTTATAGGGTCACATTTCATGCGCGTTCAAATGAATATATATGGAGAGGAGACATGTTTTTAAAAGATTTAAGTTTGAATAAATTAATCATTTAAGTTAAAAACACATTTTTAAAACACTAAAGTATAATTAAACAAATAATTTAAGTAAAACTTAAAACTTTTTAAAGATTTAAGTTTGATTAAATTAATCATTTAAGTTAAATTTTTTTTAAATATTTAAGTTTAATTAAATAAATCGTTTAAGCTAAAAAAATATATTTTTAAAAGATTTAAGTTGGGTAAAAGTAATAATTTAAGCTGAAAAAGTATATTTTTGAAAGATTTAATATAATTAAATTAATCATTTAAGACAAAAAACATTTTTCAATCACATAATTTAGATTAACTGAAATAAAGGAATGAAAAAATTTCTGTGATGTTAAAAAAAATGAGGAGTGTAAAATTCTTGTGTATTATTTCCATTTTTATTTACACTTTATTATTGCGCATTAAGAAAGTGGGCCTTGGTTTTGGTCCACACTGTGTTCACAGAGTCTCTATGAATGTCCTTTTTATACCCAGTCATGTTACTAACCTGTTGGAAATGAACCTCATTAGTTAGAGATGTTTATTAAAGGTGGTGTAGACAGGAAACTGTTAAAGAAGCATCTTATTTTGGGTGTATTTACAAAAAATCTCTTAATATCAGTCAATAGTTATGAGTTATTGATGACATTTGGTAATATAACGATATCTCTGTGTTCTCTTATGTCTTATGTCAGATCATGATTACACCACCTTTTGTTTTTCTAGTTTTACAGAAACCTTCAACATTAATTTTCTGATTTCTCCCTCAGTGTCTGAACGTGTTTGAACATGAGTCATATCTGCAGACTGAAGTTCGTACTAAAAGGAACTAAATCAACTTCCAGAGTTTCTCAGAAGGACGAGTACATCCCGAGCCTCCTCACTGCCTCTGGGATCCTCCTGGTTCTTCTGTAAGGGAACGGGGTGTAGTTCTGGTTCTGGTGGACCCTCGGTGAAGAGTAGCCCACCTCTCTGACACTCAGCTGCCGGGTCAACCTCAGGGCCGGGACTGAGAACTTCCAGGAGCCCTTCCACGCTGAGCTGCTGTTCGAGGTGTTTCTACCTGCAGACCGGATCTCCTTCAGGTCCGCATGTAGACTGGATGTGGAGCCGATGGGGGAACAGGTGATGAAGGTCTCATCAGAGTCAGTACAGGAGTAGTGAGGATGGTTCCTGGCAGATCCAGGAGCCTTTATGACTGGATCTGTCCGGACTGGGTCTCTTCTGGACCTGCTGCTGTCGACATGGTCCTCATCACTGGAGGAGCTGCTGAACGTGGACGAGTCTGAGAAGCTAATGGTTGGATCTGGTGATAAATCCATGAGGTGCAAAGAGCTGGTGGCCTTAGAGGAAGACAAAGAACGCCTGGAGATAAAAAAAACATGGAGGATAGTCCTGATGAGGACTACAGAGACCTCTAGGAAACATGAAAACACAAGTCATGCAGGAGGAACTGATGCTGCACGGGGTCTAACCTGGAACAGGAGTGCAGGTGGAGGCCCAGTGGAGCGAGCCAGGGGTCACAGGTGGTTGGGTCCTGGTCGAAGGTCTCAGCTGGGAGTGGGTGGGTGTATGACCCCCAATCTGAGGTCAACGTTTGAGTGACAGGGACGATGTTGACGGTGGCTGACGGCTCTGAGGAGACTGAAGACAGAGAGAGGTTAGAACTGATCCAGGCCGCTTGTTGTCCATTACGGACTACAGCGGGGTGCCGCAGCTCAAGGAAGAACATTTATAATCATTTCTTTATCATTTCCTTGAAGTAATAATCACCATATTAATCATTTTACAGACGCGGTAGTTCTTCTGTCTTAGCGTCTCGGTCTGATTGTATTTACATGAAGAAATGATCATAAATGTTCTTCCTTGAGCTGCGGCACCCCGCTGTAGTCCATAATGGACTGGCCTGAGGTCTCTCTACGAACAAGCGTCTGCTGGAAGAGAGTAGGTGAGTTGTGTTTAGTCTCTTTGCTAAAGAAATGAGTCAAAGTTAAAAAGATGTTTGGTGTCTAGTACTATGTCTGTGACCCTCTATGTCCTGTTGATGAAGTTAGGTGCTGTTCTGAGAACATCTCTTTAAGGACCCTGACAGAAGACCTTCATCAGAACTTTATTTTGGACGTTTGAAGTAAACTGTTGTTTCTCCAGGTGAGCTCACCTGTCCTGAAGGTCACCACCTGAGGGTTCCTCCTCTGCCTCTCTCTGCTGCTCCTGTACTCCTCTCTCAGCTCGGAGATGTTCCTCTTCCTCCTCCTGCTCTCTTCTTCCTCTCCTCTCAGACGACGCTCCGTCCTCCCGAACCCTGCAGAGACACACAACTTTAAACTTAACAGATGTGAAATATGACTCTTATTATTCTCATCATATATTTGTATCAATAACAATTCAATAAAAAACATTGACAAACATTTGAAGAGTTTGTGTCAATCATGTTTTAAATGCTTTGAAAATACGTCTAAAAGGTTTTTGATAAAGTGTTTTCTGTGTGTTCAAACTGTTTTAAGCGATTAAGATCGTTTTATTTGTCATATGCAGGTTAATCGAGTCAAACATGCCGTAGATGAGAAGGACCGCTTGACCCAAATAACACACAATAAGTACTGAGAAGAATACGATAGACTAAAGATACAAAAATATAAAAAAGTATAAAAGAAATATTTACAAAATCTGTAGAAACATGTTTGAGTCATGTGTTTGTTAAATAGTTTTAAAAATCAGTTCATGAAAAGTGTTTTAAGTGATTTTAAAGTGTGTTTTATAGTGTTTTATTTCACTGTGTTGGGTGTCTCGGGTGATTTTTAATCTTCGTAGAGAGAATCGAGTCTGTGAAATGTTGTTTGTGTGTCTAAGTCCTCGATGTTATGTCCCGCATGTAACCGAAGTGTGTTCAGTCCTGACGTGTGTGTCTGTTGTGTGTTTTGTTGTGTTGTTTTACCCTCCTCACTGGGAGTCCCGCAGCAGAAGGAGAAGGACATCCTGTTGGCTCGGGCAGCAGCACACCTGCTGCAGGTGTTTTCCTCTGGTCAGTAAACACAGCATGGATACTGCGGTGCGTTTAAAGTCTCTCTTGAAGCTCCAACATGTTAGAAATCCGCCTTTAAGTCGTAGAAATAGATCCGGATCGATGAAAACCGTCACAAAGAAGTTAGATCTTTGCACGAAGGGAAGAAGAGGACGAGTCTCTGCTGCGTTACCTGCTCAGGTAGGTAAAGGAGCAGCACTGGATCATTCTCTTTCCTGAGACAGGTGTGTGAACAGGTTGACCTTTCTTGTTTTCATAATCACATATTTGTCTTACAGAATAAACAGTCGATTAATCAGCAGCTCATAATCATCGAGACTGAAGACAAACACTGAGGGAGGAGGTTAAACACAAACACACGCTGCACACCAGTCAGACCACTTCACAACCTCATAATCCATCTCAATCCATCCTTTATACCAGTTAAGAACAATTTATCCCGGATATTCCTGTGTGGGGTAAGTTGAGCCACCCCGTTTCTTGAAAATGGTCAAAGAAATTGATCATGTGACCAAATCTTCAGGAGATGGTCATCAATTCGTGGAGTCTGTGAAGGTTCGAAGCACATGGGTGAAGAAGGGGTTAGACATTTATTTACAACAAAATAAAGTCATCATAGTAGTTCAGGGGTAACTGAACTTACCCTATACCCAGGGTAAGTCGACCATAGGAGACCCTTTTTTTGTCCTGCTATATTCTGAAGATGACAGTTCTGTTTACACTCATTCTGTTGGTTTGCAGGGATGAACAACATCCTGAAATATCTGCAGATACACGAGTTAGAGACTGAACTAGGATTGACGTCTAAAATATGAAACATGAATCATCTTACCCCGCTCTTCCCTACAGGTTCAGACCAGTTCACACTGGTTATAACAGGTTTAGACCAGTTTCAGTGTCTTTATATTATCTTATTATCATATTTCCTGTTTAGATTAACAGTCTCTTCACTAAAAACTGACCCCAGCACCTGTTTTTGACTCTAATTTGAAGAAATAATTAACACCTGTGTATTTATTAACGTTAATGGAGGAGTGTTACTGTCTCTTTAAATCTTTAACCCTTCCTCCTCACTGTGTGTGTGTCTGTGTCTGTCTGTGTGTGTGTGTCTGTGTGTGTTTGTGATGATGGCCGCCGGTCCGCTCTCTCCTCTCTTCCTCGGTTTTGACTTCAGCACTCAGCAGGTAAACTTTCTTCTCTTTTATTTCCTCTTTTCTTCTCACCTGGACGTCCACATGAATGACGTGACTGACGCACGTGTCTGCGCGAAGGCAGAGTCTTGAGTTTATCGCGCAGAAGCGGAAGTAGCAGAGTGAGTCCTGAAGGATGATAGCAGAGTCTGGACTTTGGAGCTGCTGTCAGTAAAGTCTAAATAAAAACACATTAAAGCTTTAAAACCTTAATTTTTGTGTGTCAAACTAAAGAGGCAGAACTTTATTGAAGATCAGAACAACTCCGGTTATAACAGGATGGATTTAAAACAGCTGTAATAGAAGATTATTAGAGTGTTTTGATTTAATCCTGAGGAATAATGAGTCAACTTTGTGCTCAGTTTGTACCTGTTCGGGTTCTCAGTGTCTAAAGACCTCAGGAGAATTAATATTAAAGTTATAAACAGGATCAGCTCTTCCTCTTCTAACATCTCACACTTGGTAAAATCAGTAAAACTCAGTTATTTTACAGTATAAAGTGAATAAACACTAATTCTTCAGTCACTTCGTGCTCTACAGTGATATAAACTCAGACTGAACTCTGAACTCTCAGCAGATGAACTCACAGATTCTTGTGGTCCAAAAAGTTGTGTTGTATTCTGTGTTTTGTGAACATGAAACTATCTTGGAGGAACAAATACTACTACTACTACTACTACTAATAATAATAATAATAATGATAAGGAACAAATTCCATAGGGTCATACGAGTAAACAAACTTAGTTGTAAATCCCACATAAATCATATTAAATCGAAAATGTCAAAATCTATCTCCATGCTGTATAAAGCCAAAGATTTACTTTCACAAAAAGAGTTTTAGCCACTCTATACTCTTCCCTGATAACTCCGTACATGACTTATTGTTTTGAGATTTGGGGAAACACTTTTAAAACAAATACAAACCCGATATCTCTTTCACAAAGTCAGCCGGAAGAGTCATCTGCAATAAACATAACCATGAATCAACTCATCCCTGATTTACTTCCTTAAAGTTTTACATCACAATACAAATCATGTAACCTTACTGCAACATGAACCTGTTTAAACTGAGGGACTCTAATTACAACCGAAGACGCTGTGGATTATTTCAGAAACCTAAAGCGCGAACCAATGTCAAAAAAATTTATGTGTCTGTAAAAAAGGTGACAATAATAATGATAATAATAGATTTTATTTGTAACGCACTTTACATTTGAAAACAAATCTCAAAGTGCACAACGATAACAAAAAAGGCAGAAATAACAGTAAAATCAAGCAACAGAACCGAACAATAAAAACAGTCAGCAGATAAAATCAGATAAAATTAGTCAGGATAGGCTTTCAGTATAAAACGACTGTCCGACTGCAGAAATGAGAAAATGTAGAACTCTGGTAAACTTTGAGAGACTTTACAAGAATAATGTTACTTCTTAATATTGTAGAGAAAATGATGTCTGATTATGAATGTAAAGTGTAAACATGTTTATAACTCGCTCTGATTTGAAGAGTGAATATATACTAAAGTGTTAATATTTGTATAAAGCGATTGTATCTGTATAATGTACTCCATGTCTGGTATAAGAGTTAGGTCTTTATAAGCATTTGGTCATATTACACCAAAATAAAATCTTAAAATCCTAATAGTGATAATTAAATGTGTATTTTTTCCTTCTGTTGCTGCCTGAAGCTGAAGGTGGTGGCCGTGGATGGAGACCTGAATGTGGTTCATCAGAATAATGTGCAGTTTGACTCTGAACTACCTGAGTTCAGGTAACACACCTCACCTCTTTATCGGAGGAGAAATGATCTGAACTTTATTAACGAGTGTTTTTCAAACTGAGCTGCTCTCTGTCTGACGTCAGGACTCAGGGCGGAGTCCACATCCACACGGACAAACTGACCGTCACCTCACCTGTCCTCATGTGGGTGAAGGTAGGACGCTCGCTCACAGAGTCAGGATGATTTGGCTGTTTTCCCGCCGCTCTGGTCACTCTGTAACTCCTCAGTTTACGTTTTAACCACGTCTGCAGCTGACCTTTGACCTCTCTGCCAACAGGCTTTGGACCTGATATTGGACAAGATGAAGAGGGCGGGGCTTGACTTCTCACGCGTCAGAGCGTTGTCAGGCAGCGGCCAGGTGAGTCAAATAGTGGCATCATGATCTGGTTCTTAAAGTCCAACCCCTAGTGGACACCAGAGGAACTGCAGGCTTCATATCAGAATCAGAAATACTTTAGTAATCCTCACAGGGAAACTGCTTTTTGTCAGTGCAAATAAGGAGAAAGAGGAGATAAATAATAGATAAAATAAGTAAAAATAAAGAGATAATATACAAGTATGAACACTATATACAATATCGTACCTGTAACCTGATGATGGTGCAGCAGAGATCTCTGTGTTTTCTCCTTTAGCAACATGGAAGTGTGTACTGGAGAACAGGAGCGTCTGAGACCCTGAAAACCCTTGATCCAGATCAGACCCTGAACCAGCAGCTGCAGGTCTGAGTGTCAGTCCTGAATACCTGAGTGTGTGTGTGTTTGTGTGTGTTTGTTAATGTGTATATGTCTGTTGTGTTCACAGAGTAGCTTCTCCGTCTCAGACTCTCCTGTATGGATGGACTCCAGCAGCACTCAGCAGTGTCAGCACCTGGAGAGAGCAGCAGGGGGCGCTCTGAGGCTGGCAGAGATCACCGGGTCCAGAGCCTACGAGGTCTGAGCTGTGTGTCTGTTCAGATGTCTGAACACCTGTCCTCATCATTCTCTTAGATTTACCTTAGATCTGTCTTCTTACTCACCTGTCCTCCTGCTCACCTGACTCTCTTCACACTAAAAACCTTTCCACACCTGTCTGTTATGTCATATGTCAGTCCTGTCACCTGTCCATCAGCTCAGCTGTGTGTTTGTCCTGTGTGTGCTTTAACTTCTCACCTGTGTGCACGTGTTAGATCACCTGCCTGTCTCTTTACCTGTCTGTATGATTACACCTGTCTTTAGTTAGTCATGTGACACTGAGAGAATGACTGTATATATATATATATATATTTTTTTTTTTTTATACATATATATATATATATATATATATATACATATACATATATACACTCACCGGCCACTTTATTAGGTACACCTGTCCAACTGCTCGTTAACACTTAATTTCTAATCAGCCAATCACATGGTCTGAGTATTTCAGAAACTGCTGATCTACTGGGATTTTCACGCACAACCATCTCTAGGGTTTACAGAGAATGGTCCGAAAAAGAAAAAATATCCAGTGAGCGGCAGTTCTGTGGGCGGAAATGCCTTGTTGATGCCAGAGGTCAGAGGAGAATGGCCAGACTGGTTCGAGCTGATAGAAAGGCAACAGTGACTCAAATAACCACCCGTTACAACCAAGGTAGGCAGAAGAGCATCTCTGAACGCACAGTACGTCGAACTTTGAGGCAGATGGGCTACAGCAGCAGAAGACCACGCCGGGTGCCACTCCTTTCAGCTAAGAACAGGAAACTGAGGCTACAATTTGCACAAGCTCATCGAAATTGGACAATAGAAGATTGGAAAAACGTTGCCTGGTCTGATGAGTCTCGATTTCTGCTGCGACATTCGGATGGTAGGGTCAGAATTTGGCGTCAACAACATGAAAGCATGGATCCATCCTGCCTTGTATCAACGGTTCAGGCTGGTGGTGGTGGTGTCATGGTGTGGGGAATATTTTCTTGGCACTCTTTGGGCCCCTTGGTACCAATTGAGCATCGTTGCAACGCCACAGCCTACCTGAGTATTGTTGCTGACCATGTCCATCCCTTTATGACCACAATGTACCCAACTTCTGATGGCTACTTTCAGCAGGATAATGCGCCATGTCATAAAGCTGGAATCATCTCAGACTGGTTTCTTGAACATGACAATGAGTTCACTGTACTCAAATGGCCTCCACAGTCACCAGATCTCAATCCAATAGAGCATCTTTGGGATGTGGTGTAACGGGAGATTCGCATCATGGATGTGCAGCCGACAAATCTGCGGCAACTGTGTGATGCCATCATGTCAATATGGACCAGGCTCTCTGAGGAATGCTTCCAGCACCTTGTTGAATCTATGCCACGAAGAATTGAGGCAGTTCTGAAGGCAAAAGGGGGTCCAACCCGTTACTAGCATGGTGTACCTAATAAAGTGGCCGGTGAGTGTATATATATATATATATATATATATATATATATATATATATATGTATATATAAAGACTCCTAACATTCCAGTGTACGGTGCAGGTATCATTTAAAAACCGTAGATTTCAGCGAGTTCAGAGGATTTTTGATCATCAGATTATTCACCTCCCGTCAGCGACCATAGAGCAAACCAGACTGTTATACTGGAGTAAGATGGCCGCCGTGTAGGGACGCCAGTGACTCCTCCTCATTGAGTCATCTAGCCTTTCTTATAGATATCTATGTGAATGACACTCTGAGCAGTCGTGACCATATAAGGAGATGAGTCTAACCCAATCAGGTGCTACCATATGCAGGGGTGATAAAAACATGAAACTTTATTTTTACTTATTTAAATCCACAAAACCTTAAAATATAAATTAAACAACCCCAGACTACACTATCATATGTGACTACAACTTTATTTAGTCACATCCTTTCAGTAATTTCTCCAAAGGATTATTAAACTTGGCCCTGTTCACCCCCCATACTAACCTTAGTTGGACCCTCCCGGTACCTTAAAAAGGCTGTTTGTTTCCCTGGGGACTCTTTTTACCAGCGCACCGTGGGAGTGGAGGCAGAAATGTACAGGTAAGTGTTTCTTTTTTTGTCATGTTCACATCAGATTAAACTTCATATTTCACTTAACTCAGCGCACAGAAATCTTTGATGACTTTTCCAACGTCTCCTCTGTTTCTCACAGGAGGAGCTGAGGATAAATCCACACGAACAACGATCGTGTGTGAAAAACTCAAACCAAACTAACTCTGAATAAAAGTATTTTTACTGAAACACCTCTCAGACTCTTCATTTATTCACGTGTGTTTGTTTTTTATCTACAATCCTCCAATGACATGTCGATCTATTCACTGTGAACACTTGTTATGTTAGCTGCCTCGACCCTGCTGTCTGATAAACTGGAACAGAGACCGGAGCGACTTCTGTTGTTTGTATTTTATTCATATTCTTATTTAAAGAAGAAAACGCTCAGATTAACATGTTTGTTTGTTTGTTTTCAGCGTTTCACAGGTAACCAGATCGCCAAACTCCAGCAGACCAAACCAAACGAGTTTCAGAATGCCGAGGTGAACCTGAAGGCATCAGTTTGACTTTATCAATATAGTATTAAGAGATAAAAATGACTGTTAAAATGACTTTTCACTGTTCAAATTGTATTTTAACCTCCTTATTAGATCAATAATCAGATAAATCACTATCATTTATTTACCTAAAGGTCACCACTTTTACTTTTTTACATAAAGAGTCTTTTTATCAGATTTATGTCTCACTATTATGACTTTACTGTAACTAATATCGCCTTTAATTAAACTCTGCTGCATTTTAATTTGATTATATCATTTATCCTTATTCAACTTTACTATTGTATCACTTTGTTTTGTAATATTTCACTATATTAGCTTATAATATTAAACATTACTATTTAATGACTTTATTTTAAGTAAACGCAGAGACTCATGCTCGTTTACATTCTTACCTGTTTGGTTTATTTTTCCAGAGGATCTCATTGGTCAGCAGCTTCGCCGCCTCTCTGTTCCTCGGTGATTACGCCGCCATCGACTACAGTGATGGTAAAACAAACAAAAGTCTACTTTTTATTTAAAACTGATTGTTGTTATATTTTTAGCTTTTATATTTTGACCAGCAGGGGGCAGCAGTGCTGGTGTAAAGTTATATATTGCATGGACGTCAATGAGAAAACTAACCTACTATCATCTCTCTGACATTCATGAGAACATTAACCTGATAATTTAACATTTTAATGAGTTAATTTAAAAACAGTTTGACTCTATGATCAAAGTTTAGAGTCTTCGGGTCTCCATTTTTTGTCTTTTTCATTGTTGACCTTGTTGAACATGAACGTGACAAACATGAACAAATCTTAACTGATGTGTTCACTGACTCCAGGTTCAGGGATGAATCTGTTGGATATCCGGACCAGAACCTGGTCTGAGGTCTGCCTGGAAGCCACCGCCCCTCACCTGGACCGCCTGCTGGGATCTCCAGTCCCCTCCACAGCTGTACTGGTAAGACTGGTCCAAACTGGGATCAGAACTGAAGGTGAAGTGAACTCTAAAGTCTGAGCTTCCGTCTCTGCAGGGTCCGGTCTCCTCCTACTTTGTGCAGCGATACGGTTTCTCTGAGAGCTGCAGGGTGGTGGCGTTCACCGGAGACAACCCAGGTGAGCTGAGTGAAGAACGGTCAGTTCTTTAGTTTGGACACAGGGTGGCGCTGTTGTGTTTCAGGAAACTGTCTGCTTTATTGAACTCTAACTCACAGTGTCATAAAGTCTTCATACCTCTTGAACTTTTTCACATTTTCTCTACAAACACAAACTTGAGATTTTTCTCATAGACAAACACAAAGTAGAACAGGATTATGAAGTGGAACAAAAATCAAACATGGTTTAAAAAATTTAACAAATAAAAATCTGAAAAGTGTGTTGTACGTTTGTATTCAAAATAAACAAATATAAATAATAATCATCATTATTTTCTTCTCCTCAGCGTCTCTGGCAGGAATGAGACTCAAACAGGGAGACATCGCTGTAAGTCCACATTAAACCAGTTTATCAGTCAGCGAACACACTGAACTTTGTGTAGGAGTGTTCGTGTGTGTGTGTGTTCATGTTCATGTGTGTGTCTGTGCAGGTGAGTCTGGGCACCAGTGATACGGTCTTCCTGTGGCTCCGTCAGCCTCGTCCAGCGCTGGAGGGTCATATCTTCTGTAACCCTGTAGACTGGGAGGCGTATATGGCTCTGCTGTGGTACGTACACACACACACACACACACACACACACACACACACACACACACACACACACACACACACACACCCTGTAGGAGCCAAATATGTTGATGTGATACCATATCATCAGTTGCAGTTCACTTTTTGTGCCCTGGGTGTCGCTGTCCTGTTATCTGGGGCTCAGGAATAAAGGGACAACATGTCACTGTTGGAAGCAGGTGTTCGACCCGGAAGTGTAAAAGGTTTTTGACTTTCGTGGCCACAGACATTATATACATAGACGCCTCGTTACATGTTGGAGTGTAATCCAGTGTCGCCGCCATATTGGATGGGTCTCCCCACTCCAGGTTCGCTCAAGAGCCAAACGGGGTCAGTGGAGAATAAACAACTGTGCCTGAAAAGCCCGACTCTCACTGATCATCACAGTAAACTCAGCAGTGCAGCGCGTCAACCAGGTTACTCCAGGTCAAACATCTCAGAAGCTTTAAGTTTTGACTTGGCGCCTACATACTCAAATATCAAAACAATAACGTCCAACCTGTGGGTACTGCGAGTATGTAGCAGAGTTAGCAGCAGCAGGTGATCTCTTTAGATTCATCTGTTCACACAGTTAGCAGGAATAAATATGTCACATCAGCACTTTCAGGGATAAACTCGTTTTACTAAAGATAATCAGAGTTTAGAATTCCTGACTTCCCTGAATGCATCACTCAAACTTTGGAAACTTTGACCCAAAGGCAGCGATGGAGAGAAACAAAAGAGGAGTGAAATAAAGAAAAAGGGAGAGCGGGATGGACGGAGGCAGAGATGAGTGGAGCGACCTGCAGGCGGCCCACAGGCTGTGGAAGTTCAAACCCACTGAGGACGAGCCGTCACTCGTTTGTTAAAACGCGGCGCCCTCCCTCCTTGAGAGAGAGAGAGAGAGAGAGAGAGAGAGAGAGAGGCTTTAATATTCTGACTGTGTGTGTGTGTGTCTCAGCTTTAAGAACGGGTCGCTGACGAGGGAACGAATCAGGAACGAGTGTGCTGAAGGATCATGGGAACTTTTCTCTGCCGCCCTGAGAGACACACCGCTGGGGAATAACGGACACATAGGTGATGCTTCCTCATCTCCTTTCCTCATTTCCCTCTTCAATTGTTCTCTCTCTCTCCTTCCTTCCTTTCCTCATTGCCTCCTTTGGTGGTTCTCCCTCCATTCCTTTCCTCTTTTCCTTCTTAAGTTGCTTCCTTTCCTTTCCTCTCCCTCTCTGTTGTTAATCTTTAACAACTTCTTCCTTCCCTTCACTTCCATGCTTGTCTCCTTGAAGACTTTCCTCTCTCCTCTTCCTTCTTTCTGTTACTTTCTTTCCTTTTTTGTCTTTTTCTTTCTCTTCTTTTTATTCCATCCCTCTCCCTCTCTGTGTTTGCAGGTTTTTTCTTCGATGTGATGGAGATCACGCCCTCTGTAGTCGGAGTTCATCGGTTTGACCCGGAGGACAGAGAGGTCGGTGAAAAAAGAGAGTGATAGAAAAGGAGAGAGAGAGAGCTGAACTCTTTTTTCTTTAAACTAGTTTTAAGTTCCCGTGTTGTTCTCTCTCTGTCCTGCAGGTGTCCTCGTTCAGTCCTCACGTGGAGGTGCGCGCTCTGGTGGAGGGTCAGTTTCTGTCCAGGAGGCTCCATGCTGAGAGGCTGGGCTACTCCATCAGTAAGACCTCCACCCTTTTACTTAAAACCACATCATCAGCAGAGATTCAGGGCTCACAGCGACACTTTTAGATCAGCAGCAGAAGAAGAAGAAGCAGCTGTTGTTGTTGTTGTCGCTCCAAACCTCCTTTTACTGTTTCTATGACTTTAATCTGAACGTCTGTTTTCAGTTCCAGGAACCAGAGTTTTAGCAACAGGAGGAGCTTCATCCAACAGAGAGATCCTGCAGGTCAGACAGCAGTACACCTTTTATCAGATAAACATGTGACAGGAGGGCTGGGGTCATCGTTGTTGTTGTTGTCGTTGTTGTTGTTTTAGTTGTTGTTGTTTTTTGTCGGTCCGCTCTGTAACCTGTTTTTTTTGTTCCTCAGGTTCTCTCTGACGTTTTTAACGCTCCGGTTTACACCATCGATCTGTCAAACTCTGCCTGCCTGGGATCAGGATACAGAGCTCTGCACGGTAACACACACACACACACACACACACACACACACACACACACACACACACACACACACACACACACACACGATCATAATGTGTGTGTGTGTGTTCTGCTGAGCTCATAGGCTTTCTCAGCATCATCCTGACCTTCTGTACAGTGTATACAGCTGTGTGTGTGTGTGTGTGTGTGTGTGTGTGTGTGTGTGTGTGTGTGTGTGTGTGTGTGTGTGTGTCTCTCCTGATGAACTGGTTCTGATTTCCACCTTCTTGTTGACTTAACGAGCCTTGGCGTCCTGCACTAATTGGACTCTTAACGAGCTCTGTGATTGGTTAACGACCTCTTAGATTAATTAGCTGCTGAAGAGTCGAGGGACTGAAGTTTAGAACGTTCAGAGTTAAACCAGCTGATTAAGAAACAATCATCCAGTTCTGACTGGTTTTAATTGATCAGGTGAGCCTTCTGATTGGTTAAAACCAGCTGAACCTCAAGCCATCACTATTTGGTTAACGCTGTAGTCATAGAAACCCAATGCTCTGATTGGTTAGTGTCGTAAAAGCCAGCTCTCTGATTGGTCGATGTGTGTTTCAGGTCTGGTCGCAGAATCTGGAGCTTCTTTCTCAGACGTTTTGAAGGACGCTCCTGAACCACAACTGGTCGCCACCCCGCAACCTACTGCACAGGAGGTACACACACACACACACACACAGACACACAGACACACACACACTGTCCTACTTTCATGACTCACTGCCTCTTCATTAAAAGCCTTGTTCCCATATGGAACAGCAGTGAAGAAAATTACATGACAGGCATTCAGAGACACACACACACACACACGTGCGCACACACACACACACACACACACACACACACACACACACACACACACAGAGTTTAATAGGTCAGGCAGGGACAGAGCTGAACCACACTCAGTCCGTTTCCATGACACTCAAGAAAACCGAATTATCGCCTTATTCCGACTAAGACCGGACAACTGAAGGTCATGTAAACACTTTAGTCCGACTATAATCGGAGTTTAAGAACTCTGATTAAGACACCCAGATAATGAGATTGGAATTCGATTTTCTCTACCATGTAACCAGCGTAGTCGGAGAATGATCGGACAATGCGTTTGCGTGTGCGCCACGCCCCCGTGACAAAAACACCAGAGAAGAGGAGTAGCATTGTAGACACTTCTGACGTCTGACACGGACCGGAAACAGCGCCGCTGAAAAGACCCATATCGCCCCCTAGTGTTGGGGAGGAGGACACGTTCACGTCAATAATTCGATTTTCTCAGCTGCATGTAAACGAGGACAAGGAGAGAAGTCTGATTCAAAAAGACGAATTACGAGTTTAGTCGATTAAACTGAGACTGTAAACGTACTGAGAGTTTAACAGAGGGTTAACGGATCTGTGATGTCACCAGGTGTTTGCTCAGGTATGTTGAGAAAAGAAACCAGGAGGATAAAAAACAAAGTGGTTCTCTGATGAAGAGGAGATGAAGGAGGAAAGGGAAAGTTTTTTTTTGTCTTTTTCTCCTTTTTTTTTCTTGTCAGTCGTTCCTCGGTCTCTCTAAAGAAACGCCGCGTTCGTCTAAACGTGTTCTTCGCTGTTATTACTCTAAAGTGTTTGACATCTCCACCCGTCTGCTCCTCTTCACCTCCTGAACTCCTCCGCCTGCACCGACTGTCATGGAGAAAAAATGTTAATTTATAAAAATCCCAGATATCCGATCAAACTTCATGAACGAGTCGATTCAGACGAGTGGCTGATGGAAACAAAAAGACTTTATTGGACGCTCAGATTCGCTCACACACACTTCAGCGGTCGTGTGTGTGTGTGTGTGCAGGGTTTCATGTTATTCTCATGTTGTTCTCATGTTTCCTGAAGTGATGCTCGCTCATGTTTGTCCTCCATAATTAAGAACCTCATCATTTATTGATGAACTCTGTTTTTTTCACCCTGATTACTTTATGAGCTGATGAATATTCTTCATTCACTCACTGTACCGGGCGAGTATCCAATATGAAGTAAAACAGAAGTTTATTTTTAATGGTGAAATTTTACTGTTTCATCTACAGAACTGTGTGAACTTTGACACGACTCCAACATTTATTAACCTCTGCTCACTGTGGACCATGTTTTACTCTTACAAAGACCAAAAGAGTGGAGTTATCTAAACTCGACCTGTTAGACAGGACTCTGTGTGAGCAGGAGTTCCCGGTGTTAGGACAACTGCTTATCATCTCATCTCTCATATAATCTCTCATATTTTATATTTAATCTCATATATCTCTAAATGATATAACCCTGAAGGTTGACACTGACAGATGACACTGAGATGTTCTGCTCTGATAACTCTAAATCCCAGTTACAGTTTATTAGTTTTTAAATGAAACAGGAAATAGTCGGATGGATGAAGTCAAACATTTTTCATCTTTTATTTCATCTAAACTGAATCCACCTGAGTGTTTTTCTGTCCGTGTGTTTCAGGTGTACAATCAGATGCTGAAGCGCTACGCCCAATTGGAGGACAGAATCCTGAAGGAGACACGCCCCTAAACCACAGCGACCAATCAGCTCTGTTGGAACTCTGTGGCTCGGCAAACAAGATAAGATTTTAGGGAACAGGAGCGGTGACGTGATTTTTAAGAATGAAACTGATTCATGATCGATGAGAACAGTTAACCCTGAAAACCCGGGACCTGGACGGACCTCGTGGTTTTGCAGATAGAATCAGAACCCATCCTGACCCGAAACCAGAGACCCTGAGACAGGACGGTTTTTACCACAGGGTCAACAGGTCAGCTTCAGGTGGATCCATGCTGACTCAAACACCTGTAATCAGCTGATTCTGTTTGTTTACGGATGATGAGCTGTGATTGAAAAATGTAAAAACTGTAAATCTAAAATTTTTCATGATTTTAAATAAAAACTAAACTGTCCTCTGAGACCTGGATCCCTGACTCTGAGACCCTGATTAAAACCCCGTAGAGCAGATCCTAAAGCGGACCCTGACCACCTTCAGGTGAACTTCTAATTAACAAAGGAAATGAATTCACTGTCTGATTAAATCTGAAGGTAATTTCATTTTCCTCTCTAATCAATGACCGTGTTTGGATCTCATTTTATGATCCCAGATTAGACAGTCTCTGTTTCTCGTTATTCAGAGTGTTTCTGTTTCTTTTCTCAAACGTGTGAAAACTTCGACTGTAAAGATTCATATTTTCAGACGGTCTGACGTCTAAATGTGTCAGCAAGATACAGGAACATGTTTTAGGGGTCACTGTTAAATAAGGATTTAAGGACTAAAACCTCAGGATGTGATATTTTTATAAAAACATGTCCATAGAAGAATAATCATTTTAATATTTCAAAATAAAAGACCTAAAAAGATCTTGTTTCTGTAGCTCTGATCAGTTTTCTATCGTCTGTGTTTCTGCATCTTTACCAGCTGACTTCTGTTGTTTTTAAACTTATTAAAATATCAGTAAATATTGACCGACACCCTGATTCTGAAAAACATCATTATAACCGTTTATGAAAATCACCGTCTTCATCTGGGGTTCAGACCCTCTTCTGGAGCTCGTCAGTGAATATTCATTAAATATTAAAGACCCAGGTGAGACCATGTTCTCATTTTGTCAATCAAACTTTAAAGTTACCTGAAGTCCTTTCATGACGAACCGCCGTGATCATAATTGAGCGAGGCGGCGCCGTCGATCACTCGGAGGTCTGAATCATCAGGAGGATTCCTGCCGCTCAGAGCGACGCTCGTCCTCATCAGAATCTAAGAGTTAAAACCGATACATTAAAAACACTTTCTGGAAGCTTTTCAAAACAAGAGCTCAGGTTTTCTTCTCACACAAGGCTTTTATTTTGAAGTTGTGTCCAGGAGAGTTTTTGGGTTAAAGAAGTTACACAAGTTTTGTTGAACTTTATTGGTTGATGTTAAAAATATCAAACCCTCTTCTGCTCGGCTGATGACGAAGTTTAAATAAATTTGAACAGTTTCCTAAAGTCGAACCCACACTGGACTGAAATAAGAGTATCTGTACGAGTGAACGAAGACAGTCGCAGCACATCTAGAGATTTGATGTCTATGTTATCGTTGATGTTGTGAATGATAACTGACATCAGCTGATCTGGATTAATTAGTTTGTCTTTGTTCATCTGTACTGCCCTCTGGAGGGCGCTGAAGTTTTCTTAGTCTCGGATTGTGAAGCAAGACTTTCAACAATTGACGTATGAATAATGAAATTTAGCCTCCTGTTTATCGAACTTCGTTCACTTATTCATGAGAGTTAAAAAAAATCTGCCTTAAACCGATCACCTGAGCTGCATCAGCCAATCAGCATGGAGAAACAAATGACTGTTGGTCAGGGGGTAAGGCTGGGTGATATGTGAAAAAGTTTATCATGATGTATTTTTTTCATATCAGCTGATATCGATCAATATCAGGATATAAAAATGAAATGTAACTGTGTAACCCAGGTTAAAAATCTGTATTGAAAACAATTCATTGTGTATTAAAATCCAAGATGTTTAAATTTAGAGACTGTTAAATTCATAGTGGAAAATTAATTCATTGAATATGATGCTTATTAGCCGATTAAAAGAAACATGTTCACTTAAAAGGAGAAATTTAACAGTAACAGAAAATTCATGGATTTTTTAATTTGAAAGAGCGGTCTTTCATCCAATCAGAAGAGAAGCTCCCACCCACTGACCCGATCGGCGCGGGTTCACTTCCTCTGAAGCCGCTATGAGAATGAGAGCAAGCCAGATTGAGCACGAGACGAGTCAGGGCACACTTTCGGATGGTAAAACTATTAAAAACCTGGATAAAACTGAGAGAAAGCTGTTGGAAAAATTCCCCCGGCCGACCTGGACCTGTGTGAGCGCAGTGAGAGAAGCCGTACGGGAGGAGAAACGCATCGGTGAGCGACCAGTTAGAGATGCTAAACTGTAAAAGCTAACGGCGACATGTAGCGTACAAGCTAATGTCGGAGCGCTAGCTCTAGTGCTATTTAACATTAGGGTAGACACACTAGGATATGAATGCGATGCATCAGTCTGCCATTTTGTTTTGCATAAGAGACATTTGTTTTCCTCTTTTTGTTAGTTCTTTTCTGTGCTCACTGAGCAGTATAGAGTGTGTGTTTAGCATTCTGCCTGTGAATTTTAAGCACCCTTAGCCACAGGTTACCAACTGTGCAATTACATATTTTATTTCCTCATTGGCTGATGTTGTTTGTGTGCTAATTACAATGTAAAGAGCACAGAATGTTTTGATATTACTGGTTTTGAGAGGTTATTTCAATAACATACTAACATATTAGAATGAATCATATCCTGATAATTGAGTGTTGTTTATTTTATTGCTGAGAGTTGTGATGTCATATTACAACAGAAATTCAGTAACTAGAAGTTATTCTCTATTGAAGTAGAGTTTGTATAGACTGAATATGATTTTATACCAGTTCACTGAGAGTTGGCAAAGTTAAAATGAATGCTCTGACCCTACCTGTCATAGGTCAGGTTTTTCTGTTGGACCCCATTCAGAGTTGGACCTACGTGGATAATGGAGCCAGTCGAAGTTTGATGGCGAGCCAAACCCCGGAGGATACTTAGAGATGCCGCGGACCCTGAATCCTTTTACACTGTGACAGACTTACACATCACCCTCACACTAGTGAGGTGGGACTTGTTTTCAATTGTACAGAGTTGGTTGGACTGAACATTAGTGACATAAGCAGCTGCAGAGATTTTTATTTTATTTTCATACTTACCCGGGTAAGAGTTGTTTTAGACTGTGTTAACACGTGTGTTATTATTGTGGCCTTCCCATTCTGTTGATAATTAGGGAAGCATTTCTGTGTTCTTAAAGAGTGCACTGTGGTCGTGTCGTTCTTGTGCATCGATTGGTCGATCCTGGGCTCCGTAGTCAAATCTTAGAGCTTCTGATAATTCTGGCCGTTAAATCTAATCATCCCTTCTCTCTTCTTTAAAGAGAAAAGTGTTACAACAGTGTTTATTGGTCGCATGTCTTTTCCAACACAATAATCTCCTGCATCTGTGAGGTCTTTGTGTCTCTGTGGCGTTTTCTCGTTATGGTCGTTATGCTATGGTTGGGTGTAGCTGCTGTCTGCTACGACGCAGTTGGTTGATACTTGGTTCTAATTCAGAACATGATTGGTTCAGACTCGGAGAAACTCCCCTTTTCATTGGCTGTTCGTATAGTCGACCAAAATATGGCAGAATGACAACTATCAATAAAGCATATTGATCAGGTTTTTATTGATATTGAAGGAAATTAATTTTCAATTTATATCGAGATTTGAGCAGGCGATCCCAGTTGACATTATCCAGGTCTGTTAGTGAGATGTTAGACGTCCTTTTAAAAGTCCGGTTTCAGCCGGACTGAGGCGACCTCCTGTAGAGCGACTTATCCTGATGAATGAAGCGAAAAAGAGCGAAAATTCAGGCGTTTAAAAACAGGAAATGAGCAGCAGCCTGCGTCTCTACGACCTCGCACAGTCCGACACAAACATCCAGAAGACCGACTTCACAACGACCTTCAGAGAGCTTCCCTCACTGCAGCATCCACATCTGTGGAGAAACACACTCACTGTGTGTGTGTGTGTGTGTGTGTGTGTGTGTGTGTGTGTGTGAGTGTGTGAGAGAGAACAATCCTCTGAGGAAATGCTTCACACTCTCTCATCCTTTCTTCACAGTGAGCATTGTAACACACCAAAGCTCCTCACCTCATCTGAACTCACACACTGCTCTCTCTGCTGCATTACACACACACACACACACACACACACACACACACACACACAGTCACATGTTCACACATATGCTTGCAGGCAGAAATCTTATTCTCATCCTTCTAAAAACTGCTGCTCAGTAACTTTCACTCCATCTGAATAAAAAAATCTGTTTTTGTCTGTTTTTGTGTATTTTTGCTTTTTTCTTTTTGTCATTGATTCATTTGATTCTGCAGAAATGTAACGAGTTGTCTCTCTAAAGACAGACACATAGACATATAAGCAGTAGATTGTGTCCTTCCAGAGGAGGAAATCTACTTCTAGACTTCTAGAATCAGCATCTCCTCATCCATGGTGTCATCGGGGTGAAATGACGTCTAAAAACCTTTCACTTGTTCGTCTCCGCCCGTTTGCATGGTGTGAAATACGATCCTCCTGAAACACGGAGTGTTTTATTTTGAAAAGAAGCCGGATGTTTTATTTTGTGTCTGTGCCCGACTTCCTTTCCAGCACGGGTTAATCTGGTTAATCTGTGCTGAATTTATCCGCCATGCTCCGGCGTCCAGAAAAACTAGAACTCTTGTGATCAGCTGAGGAGTCCGGCGATCCGCAGAGGAACGGAAAGAAGTCGGTGTAAATTGACACGTTAACTTGAATGGTTACGATCAGCTACGATCGGAGGATACGACCTTTTAGGAGACGATCAGGATGAAGGTGGAGATTGAGGGGTAACTGAGTTCGAGTTTAATCGATAGAGAAGACAGAAGATGTTTTTAAGGACAGGCTCTTCGGTGGAGGGTTTCCTTGTAGAGCAGGTTCTCCTGATCATGTGTTCCTCAAAGGACGAGATCTTTAAATGATGTGCTGGTCCTACAGCAGCAGATCTTCAGAGGATGGGTTCTCTAAAGTTTTGGTTCTTTTTAAAGACTTTTATTTTGGAGGGATGGTTGGGGACCCTTAAAGACTGGGTTCTTCCAAAGAGGGGTTCTCCAGAGGGTGGACTTGTCTTGGACAGGGTCTCTGAAGGATTGAGACTGTGAAGGATGGGGTCTTGATTGGGACTCAGAGGCAGATATCGCCCCCTGCTGTCTGAAACAGGTATAAATGTTGAGATTAGAGGCTGTTCACCTTCGTCAGGATTTCTCAGATCAGATTTCATTTGGTTAATTCATCCTCATCTCCAAAGCTTCATGATGTAATCTCCTCTGCAGGATCAGCCCCACCTGCTGCTCACCTCCATCAGCCAATCAGAACTCCTCCTCCTCCTCCTCCTCACCCCTCAGGAGACGAAGGACGGGAGGATTCATTCAGATTTTCTTGACGGGGTTTTCTGCAGATTTTGGCACATGAACATCTGTCTCCATCTTTTTCGCTCCATCTCTTGTTGTTGTTCCTCCTCCTCCTCCTCAGTTTGTCTTCGTGTCTCTCCTCCCTCTCTCCCTCCCTCCCTCTCTCTCTCTCTCCCTCTGTTATTAAACTCAGTGTTGTTATCAGATTATGGAGCAGAGGTTGGAAAGGTGAGCTGCTCCCTGTGAGAGACTGTGTGTGCGATCAGGAGCACGACTTTTCCTCCCTGGTGACTAATGCGCCTCGGCCATGAGATGGAGTTCGATTGAGAGGGGCTTTCAGCTGTGTGTGTGTGTGTGTGTGTGTGTGTGTGTGTGTGTGTGTGTGTGTGAAATGCGGCAGAAGAGAGCGGGTTCACACGAGGAGACGGGCACTGCAGAGGCTGAGACATGTATGTGTGTCTGCATGTGTGTGTGTGTGTGTGTGTGTGTGTGTGTTCGCTCTATAGCATTCACAGTGGTGGGAGGGGGGGCTGCCAGCTGTCCTCAGATGACACGCCCAGAAGAGCTGCTGGGGTGTGTGTGTGTGTTAGTGTGTGTGCATGTGTGTGTGTGTGTCTGATAGGGCGATTGTCCTCAAATGCCATCCGTATCCCTGAAACCCCCTCGAAAAAAACAGCTCTGCACCTCCTACTGTGAGGGTATTATACATGTGTGTGTGTGTGCGTGCGTGCGTGTGTGCAGATTTATGAGTCAGTCTGTTTGGTGGATGTAAAATCTGATCAGGGTCACTCACAGATTGTTTCTTAAACAGGTAAAAAAAACGTCAGTCTGATCCAAACAGGGGCGTGTCTAAACTTTATAGATCAGGGGGCCCAAAGGGGGGGTCTGTATGTGTGCACAAACGTGCACAGCCGAGGTCATTAATTCAACTTCTCTGTTTCCACCAATCGCCCACCTGAGTCCACAGCAGCTTCTTATCCCCAATCAACGCAGTAATTAAAGGTGTTGTAGTCAGGATCTGAGGAGGTTCCAGTTTTTAGGAGAAATCTTGAATGTAAACTCTACCCCTCCCAACCAGTTTTCCCCTCAGCTCCTCCTCTCCCCTCAAGCCCCGCCCACAAACAGACGCTCCTGCTCGCTCGTATCGTTCCAATTAAATTCAGATATAATGCAGATAAATCCTTCAGATCATTACAAATGGGGCCCAGTCAAGGTGAAAGTCAAAAGCATTGGTGCTACTGTAGATGCCAACAGACTACCAGCAAACACAATGTTTGCAGGACTTCTACAACGAGGATAAAGTGACATAGTCCAGGACCCGAGGGAGGACAGTTTAGCGATGGCGCTACAACACGCTACAGCAGGTCCGTTTGACAAGAAACACTTCTGTTACAGACACTTGTCTTACTTTGTTAAAGCGGTTTACCTGTCCAGCAGAAAGGTTACAGGGTCACCAAGATCCCCAAGCGTCCCCCATCGTTTATGTTGACCCGGCTTTTTAGCTCTTGTCCGGTCTACCTCCGTTTTAAGCGCCCGTTATTCCTCCAGAGTCTCCGGTATTTACTTTGTTTTCTTGCTTGTGTCGGCAGTCGTGGCCAAAGGAGGATTCAGACAATTTTCCGAACTTTCTGGTTGGTTTCTACTGTCCGATATTGTAGCACGCTAACTTTGTTTGGGCTCCTGAACGACACGGGGGAGCAGCGTCTGCCTCACAACCAATCAGGTTAGAGGAGGTGGAGAACGGCTTTGTTTACAGTCAGAAAGAGCGGACCGCTCAGAAATGTTCAAATGTTGACGACACAGACAGAAGAGAACACAGAGATATCGATATATTACCGAATGTCATCAATAACTAATAACTATTGACTGATATTAGAAGATTTTTGTATAAAAACCACAAAATAAAAAGATGCTTCTTTAACGGTTTCCTGTCGACCCCACCTCTTAGTCGGTTTTCTTCCTGTGGACCAGACTTCTTTCCTTAGACTAGAGATCAGCTGGACTCTCTCATATGAACACTGAATTTGCGTTGGCTTGTCTTTGTGCAGTTTGCTGTTCCCAAAGTCTGAACTGATCTGGTTAAGAAGGCCTTTAGGTTTTCTGCTCCTTCTGCTGGAATAACCTGCAGATTGAACCTCAATGACAGAATTGAGAGTCTCTGAGTGTTTTTAACTCTGTGCTGAAAACTGTCTGTATGTCGCTGTTTTAGCTGACGTTTGATTGTGACTCTTCTTGTTGCTGATGTGGATCTGTGTGAGTCTGAGTGTGTTTGTTTTTTGCTGCCATTCTTGGTCAGGACCCCCCCTGAAAAAGAGATTGATGATCTCAACAGGACTAGTCTGGTTACATCAAATCAAAAAGACACACAACCTGCCTCCTGTCTTTGTCCTCTACAGAAAACCTGATCCAGCTGCAGGACTCACATCTGGGACATGTAAGACCACATGGATCCATGACCCAGACGGAGCGGTAACATGACATCCAGCAGAAACAGACACAATAAAGACAAACAGACGAGGTGATTTCAGTGACTCAGTTTGAGGATTTTTATGATTTTTTTACCCACAATCAGAGACTTGACCACAATCTGAGCTGAGTCAGAAACATCCAAACAGTCGGACTAATAAATGTGATTATTATTATTAGAGTGATTGAAAAGCTCATAACAACATGTAGATCTGTCCAAAGTCTGATTCTAGATGTCTTTACAAACACACTGATCCAACAGAAGCAGACAGAAATATCCATCGATCACATGAACACAAATATTCAGCAAACAGAGAAAGAAACAGATCATCTGAAGAGTTTTTGGGGACGACTGGAAAGACTTTAGACGCTTGGATTTGGGACAGGAAATAAGGTCGTCCTTTTTCTGTGATTTTGACCTCACTTTTTTCTAAAGTCTCAGACCTTCAACATCTGCACCAACTGAAGGTGATTTGAACAAACCATCATCTTGATGTTGTTGATATCAAACTGTATGAAGATTTTTCAACATGAGAAATACAAACAATCAAAGTTCTCCACAATCACTGTCCTTAAAGCTGCGACCAAATCAGCATCTTTAGAAAAGAATCAAAAAGCTGAAATGAAGAACTAAACCCAGAGTTTTTGGTGAGACTGATCCACAAACATTTACAAACCAGAACATTTCAAGAGTTCAAGGATCTCAGTCCATGATTTTGGTCTGATGGACTCAAAATTCTCTTTATTTCACTTCTATAAACTCAGCAGAGTCTCCATCAGACCAGAACATCAGTCCAGCATGTAGAGGTTCAGTGAATGTGGTCTGGACTCTGTGGAGGAGAGTCATGGTTTCAGAGACGCTGTAGAAGGACAGAATACCTGCTCTGTGATCCAGGTACACTCCTACTCTGGAGGATGGAGGACCTGAAACATCAGTGAAGACTTTGTTGTGACTAAATTTATACCTGTCTTGATAACAGACTAACCTCCAAGATTTGTCATTGTTTCCAAATTTACAGTCATCTGATTTCCCGTCTCTCCTGATAGTCTTGTATGCGACTGCTACATCAACCAAGGCCCCTCTCCGCTCCACCTCCCAGTAACAACGTCCAGTCAGACTCTCTCTACTCAGGACCTGAAGATTATAATAAGTGAATCTGTCTGGATGATCAGGATAAGACTGTAGTTGTTTTGTAAATGTTGCTCTTCTGTTTCCATCAGATAATAACAGATACCAGTTTACTGTGTTTGGATCCAGTGTGATTCTTTGTGAATATCTTAAGAAACCAGCTCTGGTCTTGGGTTCTGCTGGTCCTGGTGGTTCTGACAGTAAAACATCCACTTCAGTCACTGCCTGTGAGATGTTTGTCCACGTCTCTGTCAGAAGATCCTGGAGTTTCTCTCTGACCTCTGACACAGCTGCTGTCACCTCCTCAAAGTATCTCAGAGGACGGATGTAGATTCTGGATGAGTCTGCAGGTTGACCCGGTTCTGACAGTGAGGGGTAGCTGTGCAGAAACTGGTTGTGGTCCTCTGTGAGTGAGAGCTTCTGCAGATCAGCGTCTTTCCTCTTCAGCTCAGTGATCTCCTGCTCCAGCTTCTCCTGAAGGTCTTTGACTCGACTCACTTCATGTTCCTGCTGGGATCTGACCTGCTGCTCCACCTCAAAGCGGCGTTTCGCTATGAGACGGATCAGCTGGATGAAGATCTCCTGGCTGTGCTCCACAGCTTTATCAGCAGAGCCGTTGATAGCCTCCACCTCCTGTTGGAGCAGCTTCACATCTTCTTCTCTGTCCTGGATTCTCTGCTGGATGTTTTCTCGACTCTCCTCCAGATCTTTCTGCCTCTCAGTCCTTTCTGCTGCAGCTGAGACTGTGTCGTGACCTTTGTGTTGGTCCAAACAGCAGAGAGAACAGATGGACTTCTGATCAGTGCGGCAGAAGATCTTCATCACCTCATCATGACGAGAGCAGATGTTCTCCTGGAGCTTCTTGGAGGGCTCCACCAGCTTGTGTTTCTTAAATGTAGGAGATTCAAAATGAGGCTGGAGGTGAATCTGACAGTAAGAAACCAGACATTGAAGACAGGACTTGACAGCTTTCAGTTTTCTCCCACTGCAGAAATCACAGACCACATCTTCAGGTCCAGCCTCAGAGGAACCATCAGGAGCAGCTTGGAGTCCGCTCTTCTTCACTTCCTCCACTAAACCTGCTAACATGGTGTTTTTCTTCAGGACAGGCCTCGGTATGAAAGTCTCTCTGCATCGAGGACAGCTGTAGATCCTCTTCTCATCCTCAGTATCCCAGTAGGATTGAATACAGCTCATGCAGAAGCTGTGTCCACAGGAAACAGTCACCGGATCCTTCAGAAGATCCAAACAGATGGAACAAGAGAAAGACTCACGGTCCAGATGAACTCCTTTCTGCGCCATTTCAACACTCGCTGTCGACGACGACTGACATGAGTTTTATTTCCTGAGAAGTGAAACTAGTCTGAGCTCTGATCTCAACAACATGTGTGAGTCAGCAGGATATCAGCTCAGCACACGGCGGTTACACCCAACCTTTAGGCTGTAGATATGAGAGATAACAATCAGAAGTTATTAAAGGGGACCTGCCACCAAAATTTCATCCCCATTTTTATCATTTTTTCATAATCCTTGATGTCCTCTGATCATGTTTGCAACATAATTTTAGCTGAAAAGTTATTTGATGGTTTGTTTTAGTATGCCTAAAAAACCTTACAGGAAAACCAACTGGTTTTGGCTCATTAACATTTATGGTAATGAGCGTTCAGGACTGCTAACTTGTGCTTCCTACTATTCGGCTACTGTAATAACCGTTGTTCGAGCCCACACGCAACATTTTTGCTCTCATTAATGAAACGCTTAAATCGGGGACATTTTCAGGGACAGCTTTTGCCGGGGACAGGTCATCCAATACGGGGACTGTCCCCGGAAATCGGGGACGTCTGGTCACCTTATGCTAAAGGCTAAAAACGGCAGGTATTAAACCATATATTTTAGACCCCGAGTCTGAAGAGGAGGTGGAAGTTGAGGAAGAAGCCGGAGATCTCCAGCGGTGTTTTCTCATTCATTCTGCCCGGCTTTAAGTTCATTTTCCCGGCAGTGAACCGAAGGAAACACCGGTCGTTTGGAAGAGACCCATAGCGGATACAGCGGTAGCTGGGTCTCGCTCTGACTGTGACAGAGTACGAGAACGAGAGAGTGGGCGCGGCTCACCGAGGACGCGCTCGTGAATAATAATGAGCAAGGTTGGCGCTCACTCTCTCACTCTTTCTCTCTCTCTCTGGTTTGTTCTCGTAGTTTTTTCTCTCTCTTCTCATCTTCCTTTCTCTAATCTGTTGCTGTGTCCGAATTGCCAAGTAGTAGTCGAAGTAGTATCTAGCATGTCCGAATTGGCCACCGGAGCGAGTAGCATGCTACTTCAGATACTACTTCAGATACTACTTCTAGACACGCCCACATTGTAGGATGGTCGCGGTGCATCCTACGGGCATGCTACTGACCCAAAATGCACCACGGGCTTCTTCTTCTTCGTCCTCTTAAAAGTTGTAGAAGCGCATGTGATGCTAGCGCCACCAGCTGCTGCCTATTTAGATGAGTCGCAAACGCCGGCTGGCCACAGCAGCGCGCACCATGGCGGACCAGCAGCAGCAGGCGGGACCGCAGCAGTACAGATGTAAGTTTCATGTAACTTCACACACGGTCCTAAAAAATGTGCGGTTGTATCTCTTTGTCATGTCATGGTGACTATTGACTGATATTTCAAGATTTTTTGTATTAAAACCACAAAAATAAAAAGATGCTTCTTTAACGGATTCCTGCCGACCTCACCTGTAACGCCTGAAGATTTAAGTCCAGTTTTAGTCACTGAAAAGTGAAAATATTTAAGAGGTTTTAGATTGTTGTTAAACCATTTCAGCTGAATTTTAGTGAATAAAAAGTTAAAATATTTTGACCCGGATTTCGTCTATGAAAGTCAAAGTTTTAGCTCTAAATTTAGTTAAAGAAAAAGTTAAATTATCTTAAACTGGTTTAAATCGACAGAAGCTGAAATTCTTAAGTCCAGTTTAAGTCAATTAAAGTCCAACAATTTAAACATTTTACTTTTGCTTCCTGCTGCATCTTCTTTTAGTATTTTCTAGATTTTGTATGATCATTTCTACGAATTCATTCTTGAACATGTTTTCAAACAGGATGAAACACGGTCTTGAAGCTGGTTTCATCTCTTTTTCAAAGATTCATTCAGAAAAATTAAAGAATAAAAACACAGAATTATGGAGAGGAAGAAGACGGACACCTGCAGGTGTTTTTGTCTCGTCATCGTTTGGTTAATTTCGATTTTACTCATTTAGTTCCCACGAAAAACTTGCTCCATTGGGCAAGAGTCTAATCTATACGGAGGGGAGGAGCTTCCTTCACGCCGTTTTAGTATTTTATGGAACATCGTTGAATTTGACGACATCGTGAGAGTTCGTCAAATTCAGACTCACTTTGTATTTCTGTTGCCATGGAAACAAATGTTGTCTAATAGCTCAGGGCAGCTGCACACGTTACCATCAGTTGGTCCAGATGATTGGACCTCCACCGGTCTGCTGCTGACATCGATGTCAACGTCCAATTTAGACCCAGAGGAACACAAACAGAACTTTTTACAGTTACTGTTGAAGTCGAGTGAATGTGGGGCAGCTTCACTCGTGTGTGTGTGTGTGTGTGTGTGTGTGTGTGTGTGTGTGTGTGTGTGTGTGTGTGTGTGTGTGTGCAGGTGTGCATGTGTTTATGTGTGTGTGAATCATGGTATAGGTTCAGATGAGGAGACTCGAGCAGCTCACGATTCGTCCTCAGATGGTCTTTGTGTGTGTGTGTGTGTGTGTGTGTTTAGTCTGATCAAAAGGAGATGCTTTGATGTTCAAAGTAAACCACCGCACACACACACACACACACACACACACACACACACAGCCTGCATGTGTGTTCTCTGTATTCCAGATATTTGTTTGTGTGTTTGAAATAATTGGCTCCCAAAAGGAATAAAAAGGGAAATAAATGACAGTGTGTGTGTGTGTGTGTGTGTGTGTGTGTGTGCGAGTGCGAGTGCGTGTGTGTGTGTGTGGACTGTATATTCATTTTGATATGAATGTGTGTGTGCATAAAGATCTGTATGCTAAATGTGTCTTCAAGAGAGGGAGGGAGAGGCTGACAGTGTTTTGGTGTGTGTGTGTGTGTGTGTGTGTGTGTGTGTGTGTGTGTCTCAGATAGTTCTCCAGCTCCTTAATTACTGTTAAAGGCTGCAGATGAAACCGTGTGTCTGTATTTGATCTGAACCCGGTCTGATTCTGCTCTCAGGTCCGGTTCTGAATCGGGGGATTTGTGGTGTCAGAGGAGGGTCACCTGCACAGGTAGGAGGAGGAGCTTTAATGAGGGACTCTGTCAGATCCTGGATAAGAAAGCGCTTTGACCAACGGGACCCTTTTAAAGATCAGATCCATTTCTGTCTCCATGACAACGGACTGTTTGATGAGCTGAAGACGTTTTTATGTTTGAGGATCTTTTTTTGGGCTTCAGTAAAAATAACTTAGTGAACCAAAAACAGTTTTCTGTTCTAATCTGAGGGGAGAGTCCTCAGCCTGCATTCTCTGTGACCTCCAGCAGAGGGCGACTCCAGGAAAACGGACTGACTTCTTAGTTCATTTATTCTCTCAGTAAATATTTTTTAAATGAATTTATGGTCTGACGTTCATGTAGTCCATTAAAGGGATATTCTGGCGTAGAATTAATTTAGGGTCCAACACTGAGTTAGACCCCGCCTCCAGAGATGAATGTTGCCGACTGCTTGCTTCTCTAGTTGCTCATCTAATGGCGTCTCTTATAGTACTAGACACCAAACATCTTTTTAACTTTGACTCATTTCTTTAGCAAAGAGACTAAACACAACTCACCTACTCTCTTCCAGCAGACGCTTGTTTGTAGCGAGACCTCAGGCCAGTCCATTACGGACTACAGCGGGGTGCCGCAGCTCAAGGAAGAACATTTAAGATCATTTCTTTATCATGTCAGAATGTGGTTTGGGATCATATGAAGGTCTTTGCCTGGATGGACGCAGATGTTCGTCCTAAACCTGGAGATATTGTTTAAAACTAAGGACACAGCGTCTATGATTTCCAGTTCTGTGTTGAAAGGACAACTGGACTTACTTGAAACGTCTCAAGTAAGTCCAGTTGTCCTTTCCAAAAGAGTGTTAGATTTCTTGCAAAGAGATTAAACACAACTCACCTACTCTCTTCCAGCAGACGCTTGTTTGTAGCGAGACCTCAGGCCAGTCCATTACGAACTATGGCGGGGTACCGCAGCTCAAGGAAGAACATTTATGATCATTTCTTTATCATTCCCTTGAAGTAATAATCATCATATTAATCATTTTACAGACGCGGTAGTTCTTCTGTCTTAGCGTCTCGGTCTGATTGTATTTCCATGAAGAAATTATCATAAATGTTCTTCCTTGAGCTGCGGCACCCCGCTGTAGTCCGTAATGGGTCGGACTGTTAAAGGGACGTTTTTAAAGTTTTTGAACTTGAGTGTTTATGATCAGCAGATACAGCCTTTCGTAGCCTCTCAGGATTGCAGGTTGGTCTGAAGCCTTAGATGTTTTTGGTGAGCATGCTAGAGGCTGAGAAGGAGGATCAGGTTCTTGTTTCTGGACTGCACCCCTCAAAGACTCGGTGGAGGATTTTCAGGGGGCTGAGAGAATACCTAAAAGGGCTGTAAAAGCTCACGTAGATCCAGCTGGTTTGACTTTGACGACTCGACCCTCCTGTCCTCATCACCCTCCACACCCCGCTGATGCGTCTCCGTCCTGTTGTTTGTAGGAAGACGCAGACGGACGGAATGGTTCGTTCCACCTTCAGGACGAACGAGAAGGTGAAGAGCAGGTTGGAGTGATCAATCCATCAGGACCAACGACCCCCCCCAAGTACAGCAGAAAGACACAGTTTAAACCTGAGCGAGTGATTTAATGTCCCACTGACACACAAACACACTCGTGGGTGTCCCGGCGTAATTACCTCCACCTCCTCAATGTGCCTTTCCGGCGTCTTTGAGCCGCCGCCGCCGCCCAACAGGACGAATGGAAATAAGGCGGAGAGACTCTAAATCTTCAGGAAAAGACACACCGAGTCCTGAGGTACACCATCATAACATGGTCACGTGGTGCTGTGCATTCTGGGAAATCACCAACACCTCGTCCAGCTGTCAGTCTCCTCGGTGTGTGCGTGTTAACGAGCTGTTTCAATTAACCTCGTCCCGCTCTGAGGAGGATTTCCTCTCCTCTGCTTTAAAAACACTCGATGTGTTTGTGTTAATATGCATCTGGGAGACAACATCCACCTAATTAGACCCCCCCTCCCCTGACTCCGCCCCCTCAGTGATCAATTAGCAGCAGGTTTAATGGGACAAATGAACAGAGGGTTTAATTGAGGATATTTACAGTGTCCTAATTGACCGAAATGAGCAGCTGAGTGAGGCTGAAACCTGCAGACTGAGCTCCTGTTACTGCCTCTGTGTGTGTGTGTGTGTGTGTGTGTGTGTGTGTGTGTGTGTGTGCGTGTGTTAGACTCAGGGTAGAAGCCAGCGACGGTTGTTGCTAGGCATCCAGAGTCTCCCTCTCATTTAGGAGGTAATTTTATGAGCTGAGGTCTAATGGACTCTACAGGAACAAACACAGCGGAGGACTGAAGGACGGACGGCGGCCTCAGCGCCGAACACGAGAGTTTGTTTCCTGTCATTAAGAACTCCGAGCTGTGGAGATGTTTCCTCCAGATATCCTGGGATGAACCTGAACGTATCTGATCGAGTCTTAAGTCCTTTTACACTCCTGAGGTTTATCCTCCGAATGTTAGAGGAGTAAGGTCTCACCCCAAATCTCCACCTTCATCCTGATCGTCTCCTAAAAGGTCGTATCCTCCGATCGTAGCTGATCGTAACCATTCAAGTTAACGTGTCGATTTCCACCGACTTCTTTCCGTTCCTCTGCGGATCGCCGGACTCCTCAGCTGATCACAAGAGTTCTATTTTTTCTGGACGCCGGAGCATGGCGGATAAATTCAGCACAGATTAACCCGTGCTGGAAAGGAAGTCGGGCACAGAATCTCGGCGTTAAACTCTCTTATCCCACAGCAGCTTCAGTTTGTTGTTGTTGTCCGGGTCAATAGCCAAATTTACTCGTAGTGATCAGCGCCTCAAACAGTCAAAGTTACTCCAGTCTCAGCCGGTACCCAGCACAGTCCAAGCCTCTAGTTACCAGGAACTAGTCTTATCCTGCCCACCCTAGCGGCAGGATGAGCCCAAAGCACCGACACACTTCCTCCCAGACTACTTTTAGAAACCAGGAGCTAGCTCGTGGATGTACGGCTCGTTTCTACGCCGATGACGTGCCGATGTTCGTGGGTTGTGACATTAAAAGTGTGTGTGTTGTTTTTATTCATATGCGACTCATTTATTTTTCTCTGACTCTCCTGCTGCTTCCTGTCTGTGTTTGAGAAAATGAGCAGAAACTCTGAGTCGGTTGGAGTTACTGACATTTTCAGGAAATGTCAGCGGTGAGCGTTTGCTTCTGTCTGCCAACGTTTATTCAAATATTCACGATTTCAAGAAAAAGAAAAACATGCAAATATTCACTCCATCTTTTATCTTCTTCTGTGTATGCTGCCCTTTATCCTGCCACACACACACACACACACAGAGGCTTCGACACACCTCGAGGTGTGTCCTCGCCTTCTGCCGCCGCTGCTTCCTGGAACATCAATTACACCGTCACTTTGGCTTCATATCACTGGATTAGCATGTCGCCATGACGATAACACACCAACATACACACACACACACAAACACACACGTAAACACACACACTCACAGGGACACACACAGCTGAGCACACTCTGCTGTGACAGCTCAGTAACACAATAAATCTTAGTCACACAGTTTGCTGACACCACACACACACACACACAAACGCACACACACTCACACACGCAGTACAGATTAAATAGAGTATTTCTTAAAGGGACAGTCCTCGTTGTGTGTGTGTGTGTGTGTGTGTGTTTGTGTATGTTCGTGTATTACAGATTTACAGACTTCAGCTTCTCTGTCGAGTTTCATCGTCTCTCTTCACGGCGCTCACTTTGTCCAGCGGTCTGGTCTCTCTCTCTCTCCGTTTCTCTCACTCTCTCCCTCTCTCTCTCTCCCTCTCTCTGTCTCTCAGCTCTTCCGTACTTCAGTCCTAAAGTCAGAGTCATTTTCTAATCAGGAACTCTAAATGTTTCTCTCACAGCGATCAGACTGACCACTGAGACAGGAGCGTCTACCTCAGCTGCTCTTTCAGACCTTCACATCCACACCTCTGATTTCTGAACTGTTGGACTTTCACTTTCTCCTGATTCTGAAAACTTCTAACACTCTCTCTCTCTCTTTCTCTCAGCCATCGTCCATTTCTAACGACTGAATCTTCTCTGGAGGAGACTTGACCTTGGAGACTCAGACCTCCTGTTTGGGTCGCTGCATTTCCTGCATTGTCAAATTCTGCTTTTATTTTGAAATATAAACCACTTCTTGTAGATCGTAGGTCACTAAACTAAATGAAAACAGCTGAAGAATAGTTCGAGAGCATGAACTGTATTATTTAATCTTTAGTCACACAGAGGCCTCTATCAGTCGCCTTTAGAGGGTCTCAGTTTCACTGTAAATGTACATTCTTCTTCCTGCTTCAAAAACAAACGTCTGCTGTCTGATTAGAAAAACATTTCTAGTGTTTTTTCTGTTTCACTTCTAAAGGTGTGAGAGGAGATAACTCAGATGTTCCAGATTTCCCAGGATGTGTTTGAGCTGTCTGCTGAGGACACACACACACACTCTCTCATACGCACACACACACACACACACACTTCTACACTGTCACACACAAATACACAGAGAGAGACACAGTAACCCTCCGTAGCACCATCAATCTTTGCTCCTCTCTAGTTTTTTTCTCCTGTAGTAAACACACACACACACACACACACACACACACACACACACAAAAACTGTGTTTCCTGCCTGGCTGCCAACACACTCCAGGGATGTGACAGCTTCACAAATTTAATGAGGCTACAGCAGAAGGACAGTCTATCTATCTATCTATCTATCTATCTATCTATCTATCGTTCTATCTATCGTTCTATCTATCGTTCTATCGTTCTATCTATCGTTCTATCTATCTATCTATCGTTCTATCTATCTATCTATCGTTCTATCTATCATTCTATCATTCTATCTACCATTCTATCGTGTTATTGTTCTATCTATCTATCTATCTATCTATCTATCGATCATTCTATCTATCTATCTACCGTTCTATCGTGTTATTGTTCTACCATTCTGTCTATCTATCTATCTATCTATCTATCTATCTATCTATCGTTTTATCGTTCTATCTATCTATCTATCGTTCTATCATTCTATCTATCTATCTATCTATCTATCTATCTATCTATCTATCTATCTATCGTTTTATCGTTCTATCTATCTATCTATCGTTCTATCATTCTATCTATCTATCTATCTATCGTTCTATCTATCGTTCTATTGTTCTGAAAATGTCTTGGGTGTTTGAGGTTTAATTCAGTGATGTCCTGAACCCGGAGAACAGACCACAGAAGAGGTCCTTCAGGTCCTTCTGATCACCATCAAACCCGCCTGTCTGGCTCGTCGGTTGTCACTCTGGCGCCTGTTTTTATCAGCTGCTTTAGGATGACATACTCGGGGGGGTATCAGGTCGAGCGTGTCGAACTGATCTGAAAATCCCCCCCAGCATGTAAAATGTAAAATGCATGAGAGCGCGGCGGCGCTCTGGGTGTTTGGGACGATACCTGGAGGTAATCTGTGGCTGTGAAAAGCAGCTCGACTGTCAGACTGTCTGACGGTGTGATGTGACTGTTGGAGAGGAAGTGGACGTCAGGAACAAAATTATTTAAAAAAGCAGTTTTTTTTATGTCCAGCAGGGGGCGACTCCACTGGTGCAATAAATGAACTTCCCAGTTGATTCAAAGTCAACAAACATCTGGATCTTAACGACAAAATCTTCTGTGCTGGAGCAACGGACAGAAAAAGAAACAACATGACAATGGTGCAATTAAATCATTACTATAGTTTTCTCAGTTGGCGCATTAACATCCATTTTGTTGGTGCAATTAATTTCATTATGTCGGCGATATGAGTAACAATGATTGGTGCAATAATTCATTAAAGTTACATTAACTCTTTAAAATCAAAACTGCTCCTCTTTGGTGCAATAATTCGATCTAAGTCGGTGCACTAAAGCAAACCGTTTTGGTGCAATGAATTATGTGCCGTCGGGTCTGGTGCGATTAATTATTTGATTCTTGTGTGATTAAGAACTTGATGTTGGTGCAATGTAACACTGTCAAAGTGCAATGTTGTGATGCAGTGAAGCACTGTGATGGGGTGTGATGAATTTGCGCTGGTGCAATAAATCACTGTCAGTGCGCCGAGTTACATCATTGTGATGACATGTCTTAGTTTCTCTTAATGACTTACGGTGCGATAAATGTCTTGGGTTTGGCAGTTAAACGCATTATTTTATGCACTAAACTACGATGTTTTAAAGAAATAACTTTATTGTTTTTGTGAAAGAAACAACAAAGTCCAGATGAAGGAACTGAGTGAACTGCAGTGTGTCGGTGCGAAAGTTTGTCGCAGCGCACCGATTTACATTATTGAAATACAATCATACAGAATCCAAAAATGTGTCAAAGTTTGTGAAGTAACTTTTTAAGGAAGACGGATGAAGGGGCAGCTCTGCGGAATATGGCTCCTAACTAGTTCATAGTCTCTTATAGTAAATTGAATGAATGAATAAATAAATAAATAAATGAATAAATAAAGAATGAATGAATGAAGACCTCTGAAATGTCTTTAACCAACTCTAAGGACTCATCAGTGATTAAAACTCAAGATAAAAAGTTGGTTATGAATCTTTTTGTGTTTTTGTTGTTGTTAGTGTGTGTGTGTGTGTGTGTGTGTGTGTGTGTGTGTGTGTGTGTGTGTGTGTGTGTGTGTGTGTGTGTGTGTGTGTGTGTGTGTGTGTGTGTGTGTGTGTGTTGTCCGAAGTCATTTAGCTCCAAACATCATCGTCACTAATAAGAAGTGAATATTATAATGTAATCAGCTGGAGTCAGGAGATGCAGAGGAGTTTCAGTGTGTGTCATCAGTATGTAGATTGGTGCTGAGGAAGCTGCTGCTGGTTCACTTTGTGAAGATCAAACTCTAATTAACTCGTCCTGAAACACACGAGTGAACGCCTGATCGACGTAAACGTGAGAATTAAAAAACCAGAGAGGAGAGACCAGGAGGTTTCTGTTCATGGTCTGGTACTGAGGACCACAAAGAGTGGAAAGACTTACACTGCTCTGGTAGGTTTAGTCCAGTTTGGTTCATTCCAGTTTGGCTTATTCCAGTTTGGTATAGTCCAATTTGGTTTATTCCAGTTTGGTTTAGTCCAGTTTGACTTATTCCAGTTTGGTTTATTCCAGTTTGGCTTATTCCAGTTTGGTTCATTCCAGTTTGGCTTATTCCTGTTTGGTTTATTCCAGTTTGTCTTAGTCCAGTTTGGTTTATTCCAGTTTGGTTCATTCCAGTTTGGTTTATTCCAGTTTGGTTCATTCCAGTTTGGTTTATTCCAGTTTGGTTCATTCCAGTTTGGTTTATTCCAGTTTGGTTCATTCCAGTTTGGCTTATTCCAGTTTGGTTTATTCCAGTTTGGTTTATTCCTTTTTGTCTTAGTCCAGTTTGGTTTATTCCAGTTTGGTTTAGTCCAGTTTGTCTTAGTCCAGTTTGGTTTATTCCTGTTTGTCTTAGTCCAGTTTGGTTCAGTTTGGTTTAGTTTAGACCAGTTTGACTTATTTCAGTTTGGTTTGGTCCATTTTTTTCCAGTTTGGATTTTTCCAATATGGCTTAGTCTTGTTTAGTTTGGTCCAGTTTGGCTTAGTCCAGTTTGTTTTTTCCGGTTTGGGTTATTCCAGTTCGGTTTGGTCCAGTTTTGCTTCTTCCAGTTTGGTTCAGCCAAGTTTGGTTTGGTCCAGTCGGCTCATTCCAGTTTGGCTTATTCCATTTTAAACTGGTCCAGTCCAGTTTGGTCCAGTTTGTTGCTGTAAACCCTGATCCGGTTTGCGTTCCCACTGCAGACTCTGTCCTGGTCTTGTTCCCGGTCCGTGTCCTGGTTGTGAAGTAAATTTGTCAAACCTTTATTTCCATCTTAGCGATCATGTCAGCCGATCAATCAGCCTGAGCGGACCCCCTCACCTGAATTTCCCATGAGTCTCTGCTCCTCTTTGTGTGTAAATGAACCCCTGATGGATTATAAGACCTGAGAGTTTTTCTCTGATGTGATTAGAAATCTAAAATAAAAAAACACACATTTTTGTTGGTGCTTTTCCTTCTTTAAAGGGTCAACAAACAAATACTAACAGTAGTGAACAGAGTTTATGTGTTAAAACCAGAACTCCTATTTAGACCGGCCTAAATTTGTGACTACACTGAGAACCAAACGTCTTCCTGGTGGATTTGAGGACAGCAGTAAAGACCTCAGATATGCTGGATTATCTCTCTATCAGCAGAACTGACATTCATAAACTCGTCCATCTTCACTTCTGAACTCCAGACTCGGTTTCAGACGTCGTGTTTCTCCTCTGAATAATCCCGGCTCTCTCGTCCTGCCCTGCTCTTCCTCTTTTAATCTTCTTTCCTCGCTCCTCTTCCTCGCTCCTCACCTCAATTACCTCCTCTCTCACCCTCATCCATCAGGGATCGATGGAGCTGAACCCGCTCGCTCTTTTCCTCCCTCTGATACTCTCTGTTCAATAAAGGCAGACGTGTTGTCACATTGATCCTGACGACTCGTCCTGCAGGTCAAACTCCAATCAAAGCTCCTTCTGTTCGTCTGCAGACGCTCGGACAGTCAGCTGATCATAAACAGGCCGATCTTTGATTTCAGGACGTGTTGAAGGTTCGTTTCTGTCTTCGGATGTTTGAGATGCTCCAGTCCAGCTTTGTCGTTTGTGTTTGTTGGACTCCCCCTCCTCTGCAGAGAAGCTTCATCAGGCTTTAATGAGGTGAAGAGACGCCGAGCAGATAATGGAGGAGGGTTCATTCTTCCTCGGAGTCTTTACAGCCTGCTGCACCGACTGTTTCTCAGCCAAATAAGGATCATTTCCATGATTTATTTATCAGACTCTGGACTCTTCAAAGGTCCGGGTTTGTCGGTACCCAGAGTTAAATCTACAAACAAATGAGGTCCAAACACAGAGATCTGGATCTTTTTAGAGGAACTGTTGATCCTGTCTGAGCATCATAGATTCTCCTCCAGAAGAAAAAACTCTGAGAAGAATCTAGAGGTCGATTTGAGGGTCTACAATCATGAGGCGACAACTTCTGACCCCCAATTTCCACCGCATCCTGAACGACTTAAAAAAGGTCGTATCCTCCGATCGTAGCTGATCGTAACTTGTGATTAAACGTGAATCCACGGGTTCTTGTGAGTGTCTGTAATCCGCCACGAAATTCGCCTCACAAACGGATCCGGTAGGAATTGACAGACGGTAAAAATTGAAGATCGGAGTCGTTCCAGATGCAGTGGAAATTCAGGGTTAGTCCCAAGATGACCTTTAGGAAGGCTGTGGTGGTCAAGAGGAGTGATCGATATTTATCTATAGTTACAGAAACAACAGATAGAGAGGACATAGATATAGAAGATATAGATTTAAGATCTAAAGCCAGTGGGTCGTCCTATATTCAGGATAAATCACGTACCTGATCTTCACAGATTGTAAATCCGGCTCAAACGCTCTTTCGCCGCCACCTGCGCCGCCATCTTCTCCAGCAGGTTGATTTCAATGCATCATGAATCTTCTCAGCTTCTCAGTAAGTTCTCCACAAACGTATTCAGGTCCATACGGGTCCCTCCTGAGGGACTCAGACGAGTCTCTGTGTGAGGATCAGTACGGCTGCCGCTCCGTTCAGCTCTTTAATATTGCAGCTCGGCGTTCGGCTCACAGCAGGAGGCCGGCCGGCCGTCCGTCAGTCGCGCTCTGCATGCAGCTCTGAGCGTCTGGGCGTTCGTGGAGCCGCTCTTTCAACATGCGGAGGAGAACATCGTATTTACATGAAGATGAAACGCCAAATTAGCGTCTGTAATTGGGTCAACGCAGGAGCGAGGAGATCTGGTTGGCTGCCTTCAGGCCGTCTAACACCAGCTGCCATGTTCTCATCTGAAAAACATACATGTTGGTTTTTGAGAGGCGTCCTACAGACCCTGTGGAGATGGAAGGAGAGCAGAGGAACTCCTCCTCCTCCTCTTCTTCTTCTTCTTCCCTCTGTCTCTCACAAGGCCACAGGCTCATCATATAGACTCTTACATAAAGCTGTTATATAAGCAGCTGACAGACTGGCAGGGCGAACGAGCTATAGTATGACTAAAGAGAGAGAGAGAGAGAGAGAGCAGAGGGAGCAGGAGAGGAAGAGAGAGAGAGACGGAGAGCTGGCAGAGTCTCCTGTCTGCAGAAAAACATGCAAACAAGCAAACCGGCCTTTTTTATTCAGGGACGAAGAAAAAACTGTTGACACACAGACCTGGATCAAACTCAGGTCCAGTTTGGAGTCTGAGCATGTGCAGGAGAAACACCTGAGATCAGAACTCAGGTCCAAAATCAAGACCTGGGTTCAAGGATGAGGGACTTTGACCCAAGAAGAGACAGAAAATAAAACTGTTTAAACCCTCAAAAGAACCTGCAGTCAAGGTTTTCATGCTAAGATCAGGGCTGGAGCTCCACAGGGTTCAGAGCTTGGACCACTTCCCTCCTACTCCCAATCCGGCGATCCGCAGAGGAACGGAGAGAAGTCGGTGTAAATCGACACGTTAACTTGAATGGTTACGATCAGCTACGATCGGAGGATACGACCTTTTAGGAGACGATCAGGATGAAGGTGGAGATTGTAGGTTAGTCATGTGATCAGGAAACACTCCATAAATGGTCACTGCTCTGCAGACGACACTCTATTACACCAAGAACAAACATTCACGTTCTCGACTTGAAGCTCGAAGTCTCAAAGACTTTTCTGCTGCTCAGTTTAGACTAAAGTTCTCGGTCCTCGAACATCTTAGCGAGACTGAAGTAGACGGCCTCAGCAGTGATGTGTCCTTCAGTGCCGAGTCTTCGGAGCGTGTGCCGAGGAATCCTGGAAACTTTCGGCGAAGCGCGTATCGAGGGTTGTGTTGGTGACGTTTTTGATGTTCAAAGCTTTGCGAGCCGGCCGTACCATGTGACTGATTCAAGAAAGAAAGGGGTTCAGCAGATGATCTGAAATATAACGGGCAGCAAAACCCCCCCTCACAATCCATAGACTTGAGATTTGTTTAAAAGTTGTTTTTAAATAAAAATAAATGAAATGTTTATTTTTTGTATATGTTGTCCCTGTAACAAAAGCACAGTCACAAACTAACACAAAAACATTCACATCTCAACCCTCTCTGTAATCTATGTCCTCTTCCCTCTTTGACCTTCTACTGCGTCGTAAAGACAGACACCGTGTCAATAACTTCATCATTTCTGTTCCACAAACATTCATCCATTTATTAATTCAAAGCCTCAGTTTGTCTTTGATAATCACTCTGCCTGTTTTACCTTTATTGTCCACTTGATGGCGCAGTAGAGCAAATGAAGCCCAATAATGAAGCTTCAGTCCAGGAGTCGAGTGATTGGATGGATCATCTCACCATCACAGACCTCAGCAGGTTCCTCTGGATCCTGTGGTGGTTTTATCGAGGTCTGAAGTATCCGGGTCAGACCCTACATTAGATTAAAGTGGATCTGAACTGGGCAGGTGCTAAAACACCTGATCTACCCTCAGACCTCCAGACCTCCAGACCTCCAGACCTCCAGACCTTCAGACCTCCAGACCCTGTGACCCAGAAACCACCAAAACAGAAACATGAAGAGTTGGTCTGAAACGATGATCCCTCCGTCTGTTATCACTGAGTTTGAGCTGTCTGCTGTGTGGAGCTATAAAGACGAGTTTATGTGTGTATGTGTGTGTGTGTGTGTGTGTGTGTGTGTGTGTGTGTGTGTGTGTGTGTGTGTGTGTGTGTGTGTGTGTGTGTGTGTGTGTGGGTGGGTGGGTGGAGGAAGATGTACTCTTTCTATATCCCAGGGCAAATTTAGTGTGAGACAGAGACAGAGAGAAACCGTGTGAATATTAGATCCCCGGGGCAAGTGGAGTGTGTATGTGTGTGTGTGTGTGTGTGTGTGCGTGTGTGTGTGTGTGTGTGTGTGTGTGTGTGTGTTCATCAGCAGTGCTTTAAGGAGGATCCATGCATTAGTTATCAGCTCGGCTCTGATTTCCCTGTTTTTGCTCACAGCTCCGACTGATGAAACATCGCTAACGCAGCACTCTGTTGTGTGTAGTGTGTTTACAGTGTGTGTCCGTGTGTGTGTGTGTGTGTGTGTGTGTCCTCTACTATATGAGGGTTTCAGAGTAAGAGAGATTAACCCTTTAATACGGCTGTGAAACTCATCCTCTCTGTGATTATACGTGTATATCACTCTGTGTTAGTGTGTGTGTGTCTGTGTGTGTGTGTGTGTGTGTGTGTGTGTCTGTGTGTGTTTTTGAGTGTGTGTTTGTGTCAGCATGTGTGTTATTTTTAATACTGCGCTGCGTCGTAGAGTTTTATGTCAGCAGACAGACGTGAAATGCCGCAGAGACGGAGGACAGTGAAGCGAAGCTGCAACCTCATGATCCTGAAGTCACCTCGTTTCACCTCCACACACACACACACACACACACACACACACACACACACACACACACACACACACACACACACACACACACACACACACAGGGCAGAGTGTGAACCTCTGGACTGACTGTCTGCAGGGCAGTCATTGGTTCTCTGTCGTAGGAGAAGAAGGAGGTTTCATCTGTTTTCATTTCTCACTCACTCACAGACGGATCAGCGTTACAGACTGACCTCCTCATCGTGTGAAGAGGTCAGTCTATAACGTCAGTCTGCATAGAAGGAGGAAGAGTTTCTCTACGAGGCTGTAAACATGTTTAATTCTGCTGTGAACGTTTTAACATGGAGCTCTATGAGGACTGACTCACTTTGGGAGACAGCCTCTAGTGGACACTTGAAGAACTGCAGCTGTTGGAGTCAGTTTTTGCTGCCTGCTGAGTTTCATGTATTTGAATCTGTCCAGGTTTATCCCCATTTCCACCTTCATCCTGATCGTCTCCTAAAAGGTCGTATCCTAGCTGATCGTAACCATTCAAGTTAACGTGTCAATTTACACCGACTTCTTTCCGTTCCTCTGCGGATCGCTGGACTCCTCAGCTGATCACAAGAGTTCTACATTCCACATTTCAACTGTTGTCAGAATGTAGTTTGGGATCATATGAAGGTCTTTGTCTGGATGGACGCAGATGTTGCTCCTAAATCTGGAGATATCGTCTAAAACTGAGGATGCAGCATTTATGATTTCCAGTTCTTCGTTGAAAGGACAGTTTCCTGTCCTTTCCAAAAGAGAGTTACCCCCAACTTCCACCTTCATCCTGATCATCTACTAAAAGGTCGTATCCTCCATTTTTATCCTCCATTCTTTATAGAGACAACTCGTTATCGTGCGATTGAACATTAATCTGCAGGTTCTTGAGAGTTCTTGCGATGAGGTAAAATGACCCCGAACAGATTTCACTGGATTTAACGACAACGAAGAGAAACTGAGACCTAGTGAGGATACAGTGAAGCTGAGACTATCTGGGCGGGACCAGGACAGACAGTTGGAGAGAAAAGACGGAGAAGAGTTTGGAGGTGGAGTCCAGTCTTCCTCCATCTCAGCGTTTTCTTATCATGTAGAAATAGAGACAATAAAGTCATGAAGAGCAGATAATCAACTGAGACCTTTATCCAATCAGACTGCTCTGTTAGTGCCCCCTGCTGGACGCCAAAAGAATGCAGGTTAGAGACGTGAAGCATCTGATCTGAAACATCTACATCTGAAACCGAACCCTCAATCCGCTCCTCATGAAGAGTCTGTGAAAACACGATCGACGACACGACGAGCTGAAGAGTCGAAACATGGAGCGTCTGACACTTCTGTGTGTGTGTGTGTGTGTGTGTGTGTCTGTGTGTGTGTGTGTGACTGTGTGTGTCTGTGTGTTTCTGGATGTGTATGTTTGATCCAGAGCCAAGAATAACACAGCTGTCTGGTTCATGTCTGCGTTTTGTCTGAACTTATGTAACATCGAACCTCCACACACACACACACACACACACACACACACACACACACACACACACACACACACACACACACACACACACACAGAGCCGAGGACATGCAGACCAACAGGCTGTGTTCAACACAACAACAACACACACACCTCTCATCACTTCATACTCTGGTTTCTTCTGGAGCCTGGTGTCGGTGTTTTGGCGCCTGCCGGAGTGACCATATTTGGAGATGAGGGGGTGGAGCCAAAGAGTAGAGTAGTGTCAGCTGATGAATCTTGATGTTTGAGACCGTGTTTGTGACCGTAGATGACTGGAGGCGTCAATTCATCAGAGTGAAGATACTCAGAGAAACAGTAAGTCTGAATCTGTGGTTAGAAATCAAACAGAATCGTATGAATAAAACACATTGATCCACACGTTTCCATCCCATAATAACAACAAAGGGAGGATATAAGGCAGGAGGGATGTACCATCAACACAGACAGACATACAGGTTATTCCTCTGTGAATTATTCTGCTTCATGATAAATATTTCACATCAGATGAATAAACAGATCAGGAGTTTCGCACTGATGAGGTTTCTGAACATCAAATATTAACGATGATACTGGTCAGTGTCTCCTCATCTCAGAAATTTACATCTGAAGACGTCTGGAGAAGACCTGACAGTCCTGACCCTAACCCCCAACTTTCACCTCATCCAGAATGACTCTGATCCAGAACAGCAGCGATTTTCACCGTCCAACGATTCCTACCGGATCCGTTTGTGAGGCGAATTTCGTGGCAGGTTACGGACCGCAGGAATCACAAGAACCCAAGGATTCTCGTTTAATCGTGCGATAACGAGTTGTCTCTCTAAAGACAGACACATAGACATATAAGCAGTAGATTGTGTCCTTCCAGAGGAGGAAATCTACTTCTAGACTTCTAGAATCAGCATCTCCTCATCCATGGTGTCATCGGGGTGAAATGACGTCTAAAAACCTTTCACTCGTTCGTCTCCGCCCGTTTGCATGGTGTGAAATACGATCCTCCTGAAAGACGGAGTGTTTTATTTTGAAAAGAAGCCGGATGTTTTATTTTGTGTCTGTGCCCGACTTCCTTTCCAGCACGGGTTAATCTGTGCTGAATTTATCCGCCATGCTCCGGCGTCCAGAAAAAATAGAACTCTTGTGATCAGCTGAGGAGTCCGGCGATCCGCAGAGGAACGGAAAGAAGTCGGTGTAAATTGACACGTTAACTTGAATGGTTACGATCAGCTACGATCGGAGGATACGACCTTTTAGGAGACGATCAGGATGAAGGTGGAAATTGGGGGTCATGCATCAGCTGTTTCCAATAAATCAATAATAATAATGATCAGTGCTAACATTAGAAAAGATTATTATTGTTCTTTGGTCCGATAACGTGCACAGACAGGTTATATTAATGTGGAAACATCTACAAACAGTCCAGAGTTCAGAGACTCAATTAGCAGACAGATAGCCACTCCCACCTGTCACTTTAGCTGGCCACGCCCCCTAATATTATGTCATTTTAACCCTCGAGGACAAAAGACTCCGCCTCCAGTAACTCAGCTGTTTTCAGAAACTGAGACTGTTACTGGACTGTAAACAGGTTTTTAACATGAGGATCTATGGGGACTGACTCACTGTAGAGGACAGCCTCTAGTGGACACTGGAGGAACTGCAGATGTTACTGTTTTTATTCAGAGGTTAACTGTCAGCATTAAAATCTGCACTAAAGCATCAGAGATGATTCAGGTCTGACTGAACGACAGAGACAACAATAATAACGTAATAATCTGATTTCTCCAGAATCTCCAGAATAAACAGGAAGTGAAGGTGCTGTTCATCAGAAATACAGAAAATCAAACTGGTTTTAGCATCAGGTTTTAATGACCAGTTAAGAAAAGATAAAAATCTGTTTCTGTTCCCTCAAAGATATTTTATTTTTATTATTATTGTTGGATGTTTAACAGTTTAAAAAGAGACTTCAGAGACTCGTTCGCTCTGATTTCTTCACACAAAGATTTTATTCTGTTTTTCTTGAGTCTTAATTTTTCTCTCAGCAGCTTCAGCACGTAGATCCATGTGTTGATTACCCATAATGCCTCAGTGGGTGCCAAGTGTTACTGGTGTGGGCTATAATATCCATATTATTCAATTTACACAGTAATTATGATGCTGGAGAAGGACTCTCTCTCTCTCTCTCTCTCTCTCTCTCTCTCTCTCTCTCTCTCTCTCTCTCTCTGTTTAGGAGCCATTTTGGACTCGGTTCAGCTCGGGTGCATCAAACACGGTCAAATCAGCGAAAACGAGAACTCTAACTTCCGGTTTTGATACCAAAATAAAAGCACTTGTTTGGGAACGCCTCAGTGACGATTTGACTGTGTGTGTGGAGGAGCAACATAATTTAATTAATAAATTTACAAGTGAAAATATCAAACTTTATAACTCTATAAATTATGTATATAAAACAGAGATGCTGAAAAACAACATTTGATAGTTTATTCCGCTTGTTTAAGAATAACAATCTCCTCCTGGTGCAGTGAAATGAAGCTAATTTGAAAGAATTAAAAACCCCAGCTCCTCTTCTGTCCACTAGAGGCTGTCTCCTAAAGTGAGTCGGCCCCCATAGAACCCCATGTTAAAACTTCTCAGCTGAAATAAACATGTTTACGGCCCGGTCTTAAAAACAGTTTGGGTCTTTATCACTTATTTTTTATTTAGTTCAGCTACACAGAGACACCAACTCACCTCAGAGCTTTTCTTTAATTTCATTAATTCAACTTTTATTTTGAAAAGCATATACATTTGAACAGCTGTGAATAACTTTAGGTAAGAAGTGAGGAGGTCAGTGTATTAATTATGCTTTTGTAAAGACATATCTGAGGTGTTGTTTAACGACTAAAGCTGTGTAAAAAGTAACACACCTGAGCCGCGTCCACGAATCCATGAGAGGAAAAGCAGAAAAAAACCGAAGCGTTTCAGGCGTAACAGAATAAAACTGTGAAGGTGAAGGTTTTTACTCTGAGATGAAGACGGAGGTTTTCGAGCCGTAAATCAGAGGTGGAAATAAGAGGTCTGCTCAGAAATGTTTGAAATCAAGTCACAATTAAAAGGAAACTCATGTTGGATGAGACATTTTATCTTTATTAATATTGGGTTTTTGTTTTGTTACTTGCACAATCACCACAAGGGGGCGCTTCAGGTGAATGGGTAGGTAAATGCTACAAAAGGGACACAGGTGAAGCAGTGATCTGGGGAACGGGGACATTTGATCGTATTAGAAGCGCGTTAAAAACACCTCACTCCTGCACCCAAACTCAGGTCAGCAGAGTCACTAAACATGTTTTAGAAATTCAATATAAAAACATTATCTCTGACTCGACTCATCGCTTCCACTCCTCTACATTTCTGTGAACGTTCTTGTTTCTGTCTCTCCTCTTCAATCAGCTGATGAGTTTTCTAAAATCGGACCTCAAAGACGATAAACTCTGTCGTTCTTCTTCGGTGGTTTGTCGAAGCGTGCTGCTGCACCTGTCCACGGTGCGTTTCCTCCGTAAATGAACAAATGTCACTCAGATCTGATTTGAAGGCAAAAGTTTCGGACCTGGATCAGCGTGTTTTTTATAAAGCATTTTTTAAACACTCAAACCAGACCGATAATTGAACGAGTCACAGATGTGAGCGAACCTCAGCGTCCTTTTTTTGTTGAAGGAAAATAAATCGCTACAACTTCAGAATATTGGCGAACGAGAACATGAGGACTTTATCAGGAGGACTTGATTTTGACACATTTTAGTGTCTGTTTTAAAACCTGCTAAAACTCCCTACTGTAGCTTTAAATGTTACATCAAACAAACCAAAACAAACAAAGGGAACGACCATCTTTGTTTTATTTTGAAGGACAAAACAGGTGATTTGGAGTCCATGAGTGAAGCTTAACACCCCCTCCTGTCTGCTTGTCCCCAGCAGCCCCGACTAGAGAGAGAGAGAGAGAGAGAGAGAGAGAGAGCTGCACTGAGAGAGGGGGAGACAGAGAGAGAGGGGGAGACGGGTGGAGGAGAGCTGCTCTGCGGGCTGTTTTCACGCCTCCTGCTGCCTTTTTGTGAGAGTTTAGCGGGCTGTTCTGGAGCTTCCAGCCGGCTGAGAGTGTGAGTGACCCCGGACTGAGCCGCTGCTGCTTCCCGCCCCGCATGGCTCCGGATCGGCCGGGAACTTGTCCGTAGAGCCGCGCGGGTCTGGTGCGTTTTGGAGGAGCAGAAGGAGAAAGAGGAGGAGGAGGAGGAGGAGGAGGAGGGGGGCTGCTGGCTGGATTATTACACACACACACACTCACACACATACACACACACACACTGCACACTGCTGCACACACAAAAGCCCAGTGGACGAAGCCCCGGGCCTGGCTGCGGGTCGCGCTTTTACGCAGCGTCTTTTCTGCGCTTTTCTGAACTCGTCTTCTCTTAAATGCTGGAGGAGGATCCGGGGGACAGCAGGAGGACACCCGGCGGCGCAGCGGCGACCGTCTCCGACTGAAGCGGGAATATGTGGCTCTCCTGGATGACTTGTGCACTTCTGCTGGGAACTTTATGTGCAGGTAAAGAGCGAGAGAGAGAGAGAGAGAGAGAGGGGAGAGAGCTGCTGGCCTGGTGGGCTGTGCTGTTTGTTTTGTGGGTGAAAGGGCTGCAGGTTGCAACACTGCAGCCTGCAAATATCAGCCCCACTCACTGCACACATGAGACCCGAGCAGCGTGCTCCAAACATCTCTGCTGTGTGCATCAGATCTGCTCCTGCTGTGGTGAGAGAGGGAGAGAGGGAGCGGGGAGAGGGTTTTTGTGTGTCTGTGATCCTCCTGCAGCTGCAGCAGCAGCACATGGCGAGCACAGGGCTGATGGAGGGTTCTGGTGCGGGTCTGGAGAGGTTCTGGTGTGGTTCTGGGATCGTTCGAACCTTCACTCAGACTCTGGATGAGAAAGGAGAGCGTGTGCATGTAGCGTGTGCGCGCTAACCCGAGTTGCAGATTAAAGGTGGACTGAGGATAGTGAACGTGCAGTGTCCTCATTTTGCACCTAATGAAAGGAAAGGTGTGTGTGTGTGTATGTGTGTGTGTGCAGGTCAGCAGCCTGAGTGTGTGTGTGTGTGTGTGTGTGTGTGTGTGTGTGTGCAGCCTGCATTTACATTCACTGTCAGTTTTGTTTGGCTGCATGTCGGGGGGCTTGGCTGCAGCCGTGTGTGTGTGTGTGTGTGTGTGTGTGTGTGTGTGTGTGTGTGTGTGTGTGTAGTTGCAGGCTGCTGCTCCATTGTCTGCTCAGGCATGCAGAGGGATCGATACTCGATCAGCACAGCGGTGACGAAGAGCTCGAGCCTCAGAAATCACCGATAATAACCGGATTTACGCTCATTTTACGCCGTTTCCTCCTCTTCCTCTCCACGCGCCTTTTACCTCCAACCCTCGCGGCGCGTGGATGAATGGAGCGGCTCGCGGAGGCTCGGTCATGTGGCCTCGTAGTAGTGGAGAGGAGGAGGAGGAGGCGTGTGCGCGTGCGTGCTGGAAAAATACTACAGAGACGGACACATGTGATCGGAGAGAGAACATCCCATAATATTTAGATCACACCGGAGGAGGAGGAGGAGGAGGAGGAGGAGGCCGCCATGTTTAAATAGGTTACCTGGAAACATGAGTGAGCGCGTGCAGCACCTTCAGACTCTCATTTTTAGAGAAATTTTAACGTTATTTTGTTTTTTAACCTCATTCATATTAAAGTCGACTCGAACCTGAGCTGTCAATCACAGTCAGCTGATGACAGACTGAAGTCTGAGCGCGAGGACACTTCCTGTTTGGGTCCCTGACAGCCTCAGATCTGAGAGGAAGACCCTACAGAGACAAACCTCTGACCAAAATCAGCTGTCTGTGACCAAGACTGATCAATCTGTCAGCTGATTATTGATTATTGGTATGTTGACATCATTAGTATCAAACCTCACAAAGCCGATATCACCACCATCAACAGTGAACCAAATCTGAAACATGTAAACGAGTGTTTTAATGATCAGTATTGTAGGTGACATCAGTCCAATATCATCAATAATGATCTGATATCTGCCTTCGTATCAATACATTAATGATCAGTGTAAACCTGCTGGTCAGTTATTATGGTCATTTAGACACTCGGGGTGTTCGTGGGTCTGAGGACGTCACTGCATCGAGTTTGTGGACTGGATCAGGATTCAGGTCGCCGAAGACCCGACGATGAGTCAAGTCTAAGTCGTGTCATAGTCGCCGCTCTGTGGCGGGTTTTCAGTACCTTTGGATTTTCTGTGTCTGGCTTGTGATTGGACCTTCAAAGGTCAGCTGATTGAATGTAAAGCCTCTGATTGGTTGACAGACCTTGATGTAAAAACCTTCTAACAACATAAATTTAAATTTTGGACTGTCTCTAAAATACTCTGAACTTCTCAGTGGAATAAAAACCTCCTGGATTTTTAAGAGTCATGTGACGTTGTCACTTGAAAGCCGCCGGTCTCACAAACCGAGTGGATTTTACTGTAAGTTGTTCTATTGTACTGTTGTATTATTGGAGCCTTCCTTTTTCAAACCCTGTTCAAATACCAGCCGAGGTTTTCCTCTGAACTCTGACTTCATTTCTACAAAGTCTCATTATTTCCTCTGTGATTCTGTCAGTTTGGGACTCCTTCATAGAACCTCAGCTCCTCGTTGCTCCTCGTTTCTCCTCCTTTTCCCTCTGATGGACCGTCGGACATCCACTGACGGGGGGGGGGGGTTACTTTTTACACAGCTCTGTCGTCATGAAACGAACCCTCGGTTATATCTTCACCGACAAAGACTGAGGCCAGCTGCTGTTGTTGTGTTTTTGTGTTGTCATGTTGTTGTGTTGTCGTGTTGTTGTGTTGTTGTGTTGTTGTGTGTCCTCCAGCTCGTGGTCGCCAATATTCAAACGTTGACGTTGATTTTCACCTTAAAGATTTACAGTTTGTTTGTGGCGACTGCAGTTAAAGGAAAACGTTTAACGGGGATGAAACACACACAGGCTTCATATATGTGTGTGTGAGTGTGTGTGTGTGTGTGTGTGTGAGTGTGTGTGTGTGTGTGTGTGTTTTACAGTATGAGCCCTGAGGAGCTGCAGCAGCAGCAGGTTTGAACAAAGGGAATGTTTATCGGCTGATGTGGAGGAAAAAAAAAAAAAACGCTCCTCTTCTCCTGCTCACAGCTTCACCTCTCGATCGATACACACACACACACACACACACACACACACACACACACACACACACACACACACACACACACACACACACACACACAGTCTGATGATGAATTGAACACGGATGCAGAACTGGTTTGGGTTTCATGATCGATGTGACGGTTTGAGAATTTACATTTCTGATGGTTCGACTGAACTCTAGGTGGCGCTCTCACCTGACTCCTCCTGAATTATTTCTCTGTTTTAACGGCACAACAACAAAAAGTCTGAATATTTTCACGTCTGTCATCTTCGATCAATAAAAAGATGAACTGATAACAAATCTTTAAAGGGATATTTCACTGTTTTTGACTCCAGGTTATATAAGTTAGCGTTGTAGCCACAATGAATGTCGGTTAGCTCCGCCCCTTTTAATGAAAAACTGAAGAGGTGACTGTCAACAACAACAGCAGGTCGGTGTCAGACGTCAGAAGTGTCTACAACTGCTGCTGGGCATTTTGGAGAAACAAGAAGATGGAGCATCGTACAGCGTTGTTTTTGTCCGACATGATGGACGCGCTACTTTTTCTAAAGAGGAGACCAACGCTACTCCTCTACTCTGGGGGTTTTGTTACGGGGTTACAGGGGCGTGGCGTCATACTCCGACTACGCTGGTTACATGGTAGAGAAAATCGAATTCCAATCTCATTATCTTGGTGTCTTAAAGTTCTTAAACTCTGATTACAGTCGGACTAAAGTGTTTACATGACCTTCAGTTGTCCGGTCTTGATCGGAATAAGGCGATAATTCGGTTTTCTCGAGTGTCATGGAAACGGTCCAGTCCAGTCCAACAGTGGACTCTGGTCTCAGACCACAGACTCATGTGGACTGAAAAGATCCAGAGGTCGGGTTGGTACCAAGTCTCAGTCCTGATTGAAGCTGCTTGATTATGGAAAAGTTCTGATCGCAGTGATTTTGATCAATATCATGATTATAAAAAACAATAATCAATAATTTTGTATCAGCGAAACCCTCATGAGTCCAAATACTCCGCCAATAAAGCTGGTTCTGGTTCTGGTTCTAACCAGCAGTTTGGCTCCTTAAGTATTCAAATGATCAAGAGTGTGTGCTGCAGTGTGTGTGTGTGTGTGTGTGTGTGTGTGTGTGTGTGTGTGTGTGTGTGTGTGTGTGACTGTATTGACTACAGAGCAGAAGCCGCTGTCATTGGTCCTCGTATCGCCTGTGACAGCACACAGTCAGCTCTGAGTAACGCTGCGTTAGCTAAAACCTGCTCGTTTGTGTGTGTGTGTGTGTGTGTCTGTGTGTCTGTGTGTGTGTGTCTGTATGTGTGTCTGTTCACACCTTTTTAACCCTGAAGTTTTTGTCTCTGAAGTTTCGTCTCTCAGTTTTGTTTCAGACCGTCTGATTGGGTGGTTTGTGAGCTGACAGCTGATTGGCTCTGCTGATTGACTGAAGCTCACCTGGACAGGTGTGTTTTGGTGAATTAACATCATTCCTCTGAGTTTAGAGCTGCCCTGTGAAGTCCTGCAGACCCTCAGAAACAGACCCCCCCATGTGTGTGTTTGATGTAACTCTAATTTTAGTCCTTATTCGCTCCCTCGCTCCCTCGCTTGCTCCCTCGCTCCCTCGCCCCTCTCCGCTCTCGTCCTCCTCTTGTTGTTGTTGTTGTTGAGCCGCCTGATCGCTGCTCCTCTCTTTACTACGACTCCCTGCAGGACCGACACTAGAGAGGAGGAGGAGGGTGAGGAGGAGGAGGGGGACGCAGTGGGGGAGGGGCTGCACATAGCTACAGGGAAGATTTAAAGGGCCAGTGCCTGCTACACCCCCCCCCCCCCCCCCCCCCTCGCCAAGATTGATGGCATGGAGGTCAAGAGGGGGAGGAGGAGGGGGAGGAGAGGGGGAGGTGCAGGGTCAAGAGCAGACCCAGAGGGAGAAACTGGATCCAGGTTCAATGAGGAGAGCTAGAGGAGCGTTAGATTTCTCCTCCTGAACGGGCCGATTTAGAGAGAGGAGTGCAGACTAAAGGAGGAGGAGGAGATAGGAGGAGACAGGAGGAGGTGTAAGACGACAACAACAACAAACAATGAGTACAACTTCAGACAACAGGAGGAGGAGACATGAGGAGCTGGAAGACGACAAAACACAACAAACAAAAACAACAATGACAACAACAGGACAGATAACGTCAATGACAACAACGACAACAACGACAACAAACAACTAACAATGACGACAATGATATCAACCACGACATAGAGAAACATAAACAATGACAACAACAACAAACAACAAACAAAACAACAATGACAATAAGAACAAAAACAACAATGACAACAACAACAGGACAGATAACGTCAATGACAAAAACGACAACAACAAACAACCAACAATGACGTCAATGATATCAACCACGACATAGAGAAACATAAACAATGACAACAACCAACAACAACAAACAAAACAATAACAACAACGATAACACTGACGACAACAACAACGACAAACCAAAACAATGATGACAATAAGAACAACAACAATGACAACAACAAACAGCAACAACAGGACCAACAACAAACAACAGGCAAAATTGACAACGACAACAATGGCAACAACAACAACAACAAACAATAACATTGACGACAACAACAACGAGAACAACAACTACAACAAAATTGACAGGACTTACAACAACAACAAACAACTACAAATATATACAATGACAACAACAACATCAACAACAGCAACAAGGCATTAAACAACAACGACAACAGCAGGACCAACAACAACAAATGATAACATTGACGACAATGACGACAACAACAACAAACAACTACAAACAAAAACAATGACAACAACAATGATAAACTAGGGCCCCGTTGGGGCACTGGCGGGCCCGAGCCGTGTCGCAACCCCCCCCCCCCCAACGCGCTGCCTCCCCGTCCCATTCGTGTCCTCTGGCCATCGCCCTCTCTGGTAACGCCCATCACTGCAAAGACCCTTTTCCTTCATCGGCGTTTGCTGTTCTTCCTGCCAGTGCGTGTTGCTTTCACTTACACTTGCCACAGCCAGCCTCGTGAGTGCCTAGCCTATTGGATATCACTGTCACCTACACAGGACAGTCATACTTTGTTTTTTAATTTCACATTAATTTCCATATTGTATAAACGACTGGAACCAGTCACCTCACTCCCCTCAGGTTACTGTACACATGCACCAACTGCCTGCTTCAGGTTTGGATGGAGCTTCATGGTTGTCTTTTGGAGAAATGAGCAGTCAAGTTGTGTTTGAAATTTCATTTTTTTCAGGGGCAAAAGGAAGCCTCTGCATTCTTGTCAAATATGTAAATAGCATGTTTTTGCAGGTGCTAAAAAACAGACTCTGAGTGTGTGTATGTGTGTGTGTGTGTGTGTGTGTGTGTGTCTGTGTGTGTGTGTGTGTGTATCCTGCAGTACTCTGAGAAGAATAATAAGCATATTTCTGAGGTGAATTTTGAAGATTCATCTGAGAGTTAGGTTTGATTCGATTCGATTGACGCTCCCCAGCGTTCAAGTCACATGACATATTTAACCGGATGTAGCTGCAAGACGGAGCCTCGTTAACTCTCCGTTTCAACTTATCTCAAAAGTGAGGACCTCAACCTATATACCAGTTTTTAAATTGTGTTGATAGGCCAAATAAAACCAGAGTTATGATAAATTATGTCCGCGATACTTTTTTTCTGCTTATTTTGATCACGTTCGGCGCTCGATCGCGCTGTATGAGACAGGAAAACATAGCATGCACACATTAGCGACAGGTCTTACAGGCGGAAAAGGCTTGCCAAAAGAAAAAGAAAACACACCACAACATCTCTCCTATTGGTGGAAAACTTCACCACAACAACCAATCCAAAATTATATGGTGACTGATTGACAAGGGGCGGGCGCTTACGTTCTTCCTGCAACATGAGAAGGGAGGGAGGGACTCTCAGCAGGGTTGCAGTCTGGGACACGTAGTTGCAAACCTAGCAACTTTGTTGTTAGATTCAATTACTTTTCAGACCCCCTAACGACTTTTTTTTAGAAAGAAAGGGACTTTTATCGACTTCTTCTGGAGTTTAGAGACTCTGACATGAAGCAGGCTTTCCTTACTGAGGAGTAGCAACGCTGCTAAGGGTGCAGAGCCACACATGCGCTCAGAGCTCTGCATGGGAGACTGAAGCTGACAGAGCTGCAGCAGTTAGCAGGTTTCACCCTCAGAGACCACCAGGGGTTCATGTTGAGGCATTTTCAGTTTTTGTTTTTTTTGCCATAGACTGTCAGCACAATCTGCAGTTACACTAACAAAAATGCTGCAAAAAACAAAGAATTATGGAAAAATTACACATGGACTGACATAGAGGAGGATCTACACAAGTTTTTTACATCATGTTTTACATCATGCATCATTTACATCATGTTTTTTTGTAGTGGCATAAATAAAAAGTGACATTTGTGAGACTATACAGTGTTTTGTAAATAATTTTACAAAGAACGCCTGGGCCATTGCCTGCATTTTGATGTAAATAGAGGTAAATCACTATGTTCTTTGTTAAAAATTTGCATATGTTTTGAAGTTTACAATTTTTATTTGAAGTTTAAGTTTTAAAAACAGTTCATCACACATATTTGTGTTTTAATTTCACATTAATTTCCATATTGTATAAATGACTGGAAAAAACTTGAGCCCCTGCCCCTGTATAATCATGTGCACGTCCCTGTTCTAGCTCCAAGGTGAATCTTCACTGCTCATGTTCTCCTCAGAAATAGTCACCTCACTCCCCTCAGGTTACTGTACACATGCACCAACTATCTGCTTCAGGTTTGGATGGAGCTTCATGGTTGTCTTTTGGAGAAATGAACAGTCAAGTTGTGTTTGAAATCTGATTTTTTTCAGGGGCAAAAGGAAGCCTCTGCATTATTGTCAAATATGTAAACAGCATGTTTTTGCAGGTGCTAAAAAACAGACTCTGAGTGTGTGTGTGTGTGTGTGTGTGTGTGTGTGTGTCTGTGTGTGTGTGTGTGTGTGTGTGTGTATATATGTGTGTGTATCCTGCAGTACTCTGTACTCCTGCAGTGGCCAAAAAGACTTTTAAGAATGTGGATTTTTGGGTCATCTTTGGCGCCCCCTAGAACTGCAGTACTCTGTACTCCTGCAGTGGCCAAAATGACTTTTAAGAATGTGGATTTTTGGGTCATCTTTGGTGCCCCCTAGAACGTAAACCGTGGGGTGCAGCGTCATGATTTTTACAACTTTGAATGGGCATGGGGTGTAGATTGCCCTGAGCAAATTTGGTATCGGTGGGACGAAAGCCTTAGGAGGAGATAGCCACATTCCAATGTGTGCGAATCGGCAAAAAATGCGAAATAGCCCTTTAACCGTACATTATACAGATACGCGCTTTTTGACTTTTTCGTAGATCTAATTGAGATACACGTGATTGTCAATTTTTGTGTCAATATGACAAAGCGTTCAGGCATGACACTCAACAATGTGTATTTTCATGTAAGGGGACAAGAAAAAATTGACTTTTTTCTCCTGCCATGGGGGGGCGCTCTTTTGGGGAGTAAAAATTCCTTCACAAATGTGTTGATGGCTGGACATTGCATCATCCTAGAAAACTTGGAGGGCAGTGAGGACAAAAATAAAAAGTTATAAGACTTTTAAGAATGTGGATTTTGGGTTATCTTTGGCGCCCCCTAGAACGTAAACCGTGGGGTGCAGCGTCATGATTTGTACAACTTTTAATGGCCATGGGGGGTAGATTGGCCTGCGCAAATGTGGTGCCGGTCGAACGAAAGCCTTCGGAGGAGTTAGCGAAATTCCAATGTGTGCAGATCTGCAAAAAATGCAAAATAACCCATTAACCGTACATTTGACAGATACGCCCGCACTGACTTTTTTGTAGATCTTATTGAGATACATGTGTGTGTCAATTTTTGTGTCAATATGACAAAGCGTACAGCCGTCATGTGAATTTTCACCTTAGGGGGCGCTATGGAGCCATTTTGCATTTTATTGTTTGGGCGACTTCAGAATATCGAATTTTTCACCAGGCCCGGTCGTCCTGCCAAATTTCCTGAGTTTTCGCCAGTGGGAAGTGGGCCATTTTCCAGTTTAAAGCGGAGGAAAAATAATAACGAAAGAAGGAAACATGCAGGAACAAGAGGGCTCTCGCAGCTGCTTAGCAGCTACGCTCGGGCCCTAACAACAAGAAACAATGACGACAACAGGACCAACAAAGACAACAGCAATAAACTGTTTGTTTGTTTGTTTGTTTGTTTGTTTGTTTGTTTGTTTGTTTGTTTGTTTGTTTGTTCAGACTCTTTATTTTCAGAAACAGCCTCATGAGTTCAGCTCCCTGTTATTTCAGAACACCTTTAATGGACCTAATTAATCAGTCGGACCAATCAATCAGAACACTGTTTATTAGAAAGTCCTGCACAACCACAGAAACACTTCCAGGACTGAGTTTAGACCCGGTTTTTACAACAGAACAGACCGGGTTTACCTAACAGATCTCAGAACCAAAGCCCGGTACCATTCAGGAGGGAGTGGTAATGAACTAACAATGAATTCTGATCAGGATTATGACTCTTCACAAACACACAAATATGATCATCAAGATTAAAAAGAGGAGAGGAAGGACGTCTGCTCCTTTAGTTTTCAGTCTCCTCTTTAATAATGAGTAAAGTCATTAAACACAAAGTAAACAGACGTTTGTCACTTTAGTTCATTAAAACTTCTTCCTTAAATAAAAAATAAACTCCGTCTCTGTTTCTTAAATGTGATGATGTCGTCCGGACTGAAATACCTTCACTCCGGTCCATAAACCTCTGCAGACGCAGTGAAGGCCCGTCCGGACTCTCTCTCTCTCCTCGGGGGGACGTGGTGGTTTTTATATTTGAGGATTGGTCGTGTGTTTGTTATGAGATGGATGTTTTCCTCCGACGTCGGCGCGGTGTTTACAGTAGCTGAGCTGCAGAGTGGACGTTTCATTACACTCATTGCTCTCTGTAATATACGGCTGTAGCTCCCCTGACCTGCTTTCTCAGCGATCAATATTACTGGTGGAGGGAGGAGGGGACCCTGTTTTTATTTCACACACACACACACACACACACACACACACACACACACACACACACACACACACACACACACATACATCATTAGCTCTGGGAGAGGCCTGCAGAGGTTTTTATGGAAGCAATCCACCAAACACTTTCTGTAAAGTACTCTGGAAACCCTGATACCTCCAAGTACCTAAACCTGGACCTGAGGAGATCCCAGGTAACCAGGTAACCAGGTAACCAGGTAACCAGGTAACCAGGTAACAGCGGCTGCTCGTTGATATCTAAACAAGCACAGAAGTGTGTTTTTATTCAGAGTTAATAAACAGGATTAAAACAAACTGACGTGATCATGATAGACCTGAAGAGTTCTGATGTTTAAAGACTAAAAGATCCTGGAGGAGTTCCACAAGGCACACCGCCGGGTCCCTTTAGGTTTTAAAAACCAGGTTTATACCAGATCCTTTGGTTTCAGACATCGATCCACTTTGGATCTGACTCCTTCAGAGGTCAGACTGTATCTTGTTCTTTCAGGATTTGGGTTGTTTTGAGTCTTACAGGTCTTGCGTTGACTTGAATCCTGTTGTGTTTGTGGAGTTGGATCTTGCTGTATCTCGTGGTTTGTAGACTCTGGATGTCTGAGATGTTGTTGATCCAGGATAAAGGACAGACGACATCTTTTAGCTGCAGTACTCGGGTTTGGTGGATGTAGTTTTGAGACCAGGATCATGCCCGTCCTAAACTTGCTAGAACTCCTTAAACCTTGAGTCGCTCTTTCGATGGAGTTACTGAAGGGTCTCTGCTGGGTCTCCTGCTGTTTTAAGACTAGAATCAAAGGGATCCTGTGGTTTCAGGACTCCGGTTGTGTAAAGTCTCAGGACTGGGTTGGTGTGTAGACCTGGACCATGTTATTCCAGAGTGCAGTGTTGTTGTGGTTTGTGGACTCAGGATGTGTTTGTCTTTGTTGATCCAGGACTTGAGTCTTGAAGGATCCTGAAGTTCCAGAATTCAGGACATGTCAGATCTTCAAGCTGCAGTGATCCGGTTTTGTTGGATGTTCGGGTTAGTTCCTCAAGGATCATCTCTGGGTCTCCTGTGTGGTTTCAGGACCTGTGATTTGTTGGATCATTGATCCTCAGTAACCAGGTTTTTAGGGATCTTGTGGTTTTAGGATTCTGGTTTTGTCAGTCCTGAGGTTTTGTTATATCTTCCTGTTTGTGGTCTCAGGTCTTGTCTTCTAGTGTGACCTCTTCTATCTTGTCGGATCTTGTCGTGTTGTCCTTGTTGCTTCAGGACTTAGTTCCTGTTGGATCCTGCACCATGACTCGTTGACAGACTTGGGTTTTGCTCGACTTTGTGGTTTTTGGACTTGATGGACAGGGAACTTTTGGGTACCTGTTGGATCTCACGGTTAACCAGGATCAGGAGTTCCTCGATGTTTCAGGACGTAAGTGGTTGTGTGGGATCTTGATGGCTGTAGATCTTTGGGTTCCTGGTTGAGGTCTTCCTGTAGCTCCAGCTCACCTGAGGGGGGTCCGAGGGGTCCTAAAGGGGGACTCTGAGAACAGTTTGTACTTTCCTGAGAAGGAACGGTTACAGGTTTGATGTCTATGAACTTCAGTGAAACTCCTCCACGGTGATGCCGATCGTTCCCTGTCCTGATCAAAGATCGATAACCTGTAGAAACGGCAGATGAAGTTAGTTTCAGGCAGGTTTCTGATGATCTTAAACTCACGGCGTATAAATCCGAGTCTGAATTTTGTATATTCTTTGATTTTCACTCAGATATTAAACGTCTCTGTGCCGTTTGAACGTAGAGAAAAGCTTTCCATAAATTAGTCCTGCTGAGCTCAGAGCGCTCTGCCACTGCGTATAAAACTAATTTTATGGCCGGGACTGTCACCATAACTCTCCGTGAGACACACACACACACACACACATGCACACACACACTTTGGCAAACATGCAAAACACACAGGGAGAAACACATCAAGTCATTAGCAGAGAGCTGTGGTCTGGTGTTTATTCTGGCTCACAGCGGAGCGGCGATATCAGCGTGAAGAAAGAGGAGCTGCTCAATGAAACAGACGCTGACTTTATCAGCTGTTTCATAATTTTATTACCAACACATTAACATGACAGGCTGGTTACTGCAGGACAAATGTCCTCACAGAGTTACTCTGAGGTGATGTCACTCCTTTAAGGCCGAAGACGAGCCGATGACCTGGATTTAAGACAAAGAGGCGGAGGACCGAACTCTGAGCTGACTCTTTCAAAAACGTTCTAAAATATTCATATTTTCATTTTTTATTCGTGCGTCGAAGAAAGTGACACTCAGGACAACCCGACTGCAGATGTGATCTCAGATAAAACCACAGAGAGGAGTCCTGCAGAGATCCTCTCATACTGGTGCTGATGTGGACTCTCGAAGTCTGAGCTGAACCCGTACCCGCCCTGTTACACGTGGAGACATAAAAAAAAAAAGCAGAGTAGGCGGGGCAACAGCAAAGACCGCCGTACCAAAGAGGACAACACAACTATTGTCGGCAAACAGGGACATGCCACGAGACAATAGTTCAGATTCTGAGTCCAATTCACTGCCACCTGATTGGTTAAAGTGTTACGATACCAAAATGATGAGGGGCGGCCTTGAAAAGACATTTCTACCTCAATGGAAGTACGGTGAAGCAACAGCTAGCTTCTGTAGTCGGCCATGTTTGTTTACACTAAAGTCTCGTTTGATCACATGGTTCCTAAAGGTGTTGTAGTCAGGATCTGAGTTAGTTCCAGTTTTTAGGAGAAATCTTGAATGTAAACTCTACCCCTCCTAACCAGTTTTCCCCTCAGCTCCTCCTCTCCCCTCAAGCCCCGCCCACAAACAGACGCTCCTGCTCGCTCGTATCGTTCCAGTTAAATTCAGATATAATGCAGATAAATCCTTCAGATCATTACAAATGGGGCCCAGTCAAGGTGAAAGTCAAAAGCATTGGTGCTACTGTAGATGCCAACAGACTACCAGCAAACACAATGTTTGCAGGACTTCTACAACGAGGATAAAGTGACATAGTCCAGGACCCGAGGGAGGACAGTTTAGCGATGGCGCTACAACACGCTACAGCAGGTCCGTTTGACAAGAAACACTTCTGTTACAGACACTTGTCTTACTTTGTTAAAGCGGTTTACCTGTCCAGCAGAAAGGTTACAGGGTCACCAAGATCCCCAAGCGTCCCCCATGGTTTATGTTGACCCGGCTTTTTAGCTCTTGTCCGGTCTACCTCCGTTTTAAGCGCCCGTTATTCCTCCAGAGTCTCCGGTATTTACTTTGTTTTCTTGCTTGTGTCGGCAGTCGTGGCCAAAGGAGGATTCAGACAATTTTCCGAACTTTCTAGTTGGTTTCTACTGTCCGATATTGTAGCACGCTAACTTTGTTTGGGCTCCTGAACGACACGGGGGAGCAGCGTCTGCCTCACAACCAATCAGACTAAGACCTCAGACCGGATAAACCGTCAGTCGGTCCTTCATTCCTGTGACTTTAGAAAAGTCTGAGAGTTTAAAAACAGAGAGGAGAAAAGAGAGAAGAGTGTTTTTGTGTTTTTTAAAGTCGTCCTCATTCATCGTCACAGTCAGAGATAAGTCTGCTCATTGAAACGCTGAATCAGTCAGGAAACAGTCAGTCAGTCAGTGTTCAGTCAGTCATGTGGAGCAGACCTCTGTTGGTTTGAACCTGATAAGCTGTGCAGGCGAGTGTGTGTGTGTGTGTTAGTGTGTGTGTGTGTTAGTGTGTGTTAGTGTGTGTGTGTGTGTGTGTGTTAGTGTGTGTGTACCTGGACAGATAAAGTGTTATCTTGCTATTCGGGCCCAAACACAAAGATAACAATGGAGTACAGGACACTTTATCAAAACACACAAACACGCTCTGCAGGGACGTGTCCTGCTCGGCTCGGGCCGTCCAATCAGAGCGCAGGATGAGCGCGGCCGCAGTAAAAGGCCCGGAGTCGGTCTGTATTGTGTTTGCCGGGCTGTAAAGTCGGGAGCCTGGCTGTGACAGATGGGGGGCTCTCTTTCATTGACAAACTGACGGCTCCCAGGGGCCCAGACTGACCCCCCCGCCTCCTGCTCCTCTCATTTGTTCCTCACCCCCCCCCCCTCCCTCCCCTGAGGTCTACAGGAATGACTCCCTTTCTCTCTCTCTCTCTCTCTCTCTCCCTCTCTCTCTCCCTCTCTCTCTCTCTCTCTCTCTCTCTCTCTCTCTCTCTCTGTCTGTGCTGCCATTTGTGCGGGGACAGGGGGCCCGGTCAGGGAGGTCCTCGTGTGTCCTCCTGTCTGGTCTTCTTTGAGTGGGGGGGGGGCAGATGTTGTCTGGACAACAGGAACCAAACACGGTCCTGGTCCTGGGGTCCTCTTATCTGGTCTTTCCTCTCCTGCTGCTGTGATTTCACAGGATTGCATCAGAGTCTCCGGTTATCAGCTGTTCACATGCGCTCGCCGCCCTCGCCCCGCTGGACTCTCGCACGAGTCTGTCAGGGTCAGATGTGGTCAAATACAGGATCACTGGATCTGATGATCAGAGGGGTCGGGGTTTGCTCTTCCTGATCGGGGTTGTCTGAGGTGGTTCTGGAGGAGAACTTTGGCGTTTTGGTGAAATGTTTGTAAATCTGCGTTTCCTGTTTCAGAGTCCGACTCTCTCTCTCTCTCTCGGGTTCGCAGCTGTCTGCAGCGCTCAGGTTTACTAACGTACAGATGTCGGCCGTGACTCAGATTCTTCACTCTGAGCGTAGAGTATGTTCAGGATGTTTGGACCGCTCCCAGGAGACGGCGCCAACAGATGGTCGCCGGTTCGACGAAGAATCTGCGAAAAGACGAGGAAATCCAAACATTGAGTTTCTGAGGATCACAGAGACGATTCAGACGTGGAGAGTTCCTACATGAGCTCCTGTCTCTGAACAACATCATCGTTTTTATCTCTGGGTTTGATTCAGATAATCATGTTCTCCAGAGGATGACTCTGACTTTATGGAGAGGAGATGAACGGATGAAGTTTTTAACTGACATCAAAGATCAAAACATAGATTACAGAAATAAAGTCAGAATATTTCTCTAAAACGAGGACTTGGCCCGACCGTGTCGATGTGTTTGTGGAGAGGAGAGTGTTTTCTAAAATTACAACGTTATTCCTGTCAGATTCACTTCCTGTTTTAGACATGAGGACACTTGAACCCGTGACTGTGAGGCGCAGTCATGGTGGAGGTTTCTGTAGATCTTTAGTGACACACAGAGAGTTTGTGAGTCTGCTCAGGTGAACAGGATCTGGAGAGGATCTGAACGGTGACGATTTAACTGAGATTACAGAGTTTAGGGTCCCCCCCAAACATACACACTGATAGACTCAGATCATTTTCAAAGTTCTGAAGCTGCTGTCTGAGCTGAAGATGAAGTTAAACCTGGTCTAACGTCACCATAAACGCAGACAGCAGCTTCAGAAGTTAAACCAGGTTTATCTTCTGAAGCTGCTGTCTGCGTTTATGGTGATGTTAGACCAGGTTTAAGTTCACCTTCAGCTCAGACAGCAGCTTCAGAAGTTAAACCTGAGTTGATGGTGAAGTTGAACCTGATTTAATTTCTGAAGCTGCTGTCTGAGCTGAAGGTGAAGTTAAACCTGGTCTAACATCAACATCAGCTCAGACAGCAGCTTCAGAAATTAAACTGGGTTTATCTTCTGAAGCTGCTGTCTGAGCTGAAGGTGACGTTAGACCAGGTTTATCTTCTGTAGCTGCTGTCTGCGTTTCTGGTGACGTTGAACCCGGTTAGGAGGAAATAAAGACGAGTCTAGAGTCTCTGCGGCGTTGAGGCCCTCAGCCTCGGAGGTCAGCTCTATTGTCTGCAGCTCTGCGTGTTTTCAGGACCGACCAGACTGTGATTGATGGCACTTAAAGCTGCTGAGGGTGTGTGTGTGTGTGTGTCATTGTGTGTTTTTGTGCATTAATTGTGAGAGTGTATCTGGTTAGTGACGAGGAGGAGCAGCTCCCTCCTCCTCCTCCTCCTCCTCCTCCTCCTGCAGCTCTGATCGTCAGAGAGCTTCAGCCCGACTTCTGAGGCTATAAATAGAGGCTGTGTGTGTGTGTGTGTGTGTGTGTGTGTGTGTGTGTGTGTGTGTGTGTGTGTTTTGGGAGGGGAAGCCCATTTTGGGATCCAGCTGGATGTGATCCAGGACTTGGCCCAGAGGAGGAAGAGAGTCAGAGGAGGAAGAGCGTGAAGGAGGTTCTGATCAGGATGTAAAAAAGTCAAATCGATCGAACCTGGAGTGATCGATCTGATCAATAAAACTGATCAGACGGTCTGTGGATTCATGCAGACGTCCTTTAAACGAAGAGAGGTGGAGTTAAGGTTCTATTGATACTGATGATGTTATTGATCCAGTTCTTTATTGATGATCTGTTTTGATTTCTGTGAGTTTCTTTGTGGACTCACACACAAACACACACACACACACACACACACACACACACACACACACACACACACACACACGTCACCTTCACTGCTCTGCCTGTTTATTGATTGGGCCTGTAATGGTCAGCTGATCGTAGATACAGCCTCTGATTGGTCAACAGATCTCCTCTGAGTTTGTATTTCTACGTTTAGAGCTGAGATCGTAAACACAACAACACGAGATCGTCAGACTGCAGACCTGAACTCTAGAGTCTGTAACGAGCAGAACAAAACGACAGTCAAAGTGCAGATGGTCACTGTTGATGCAGAAGGCCGCCATTTTGGATTTGGAGCTCTGAAGTATCTGACTTCTGAGGTCAAACGTGACTTCCTGTCTGAGTTTGTCTGGACAGGACTGAGCGTGTGCGAGAGCGTCTGCTGATAGTGACTGAAAATGTGAACTATACTGTCGTCTCACCTTCCTCTGCTGGTGACCAATCACTCAGTCCGTTTCCATGACACTCGAGAAAACCGAATTATCGCCTTATTCCGATTAAGACCGGACAACTGAAGGTCATGTAAACACCTTAGTCCGACTATAATCAGAGTTTAAGAACTCTGATTAAGACACCCAGATAATGAGATTGGAATTCGATTTTCTCTACCATGTAACCAGAGTAGTCGGAGTTTGATCAACCCAGGAGCAACATGGCTGAAGCACCAAAGAACGTCCACTTTTGGAACGACAAGGAGAGCGCCGTTCTACTTTCCATCCTGACAGGAATGGACATTTTTAAGTATAAGGACGGTCGCAAAACGAGGAACGGAGACATCTTTAACCCTAGAAGACTATCGCCTGGTGATTTTCATGATGTTGTGTTTGTCTGAGTAGTTTCAGCATTTCCTTTGACATCTTTGAAGACAGATTTGTTTCCTACAGACTCGTGTTCACAGGCTGATTTTAGTGACGGAGGGTAAAGTAGGTTTGGGTGGATTTGATGGTTCTTGGCGTGTTGATCATCAGTGTCTCCTGGTTTCCTGGATGTGGCGCTTTTGAAGGTTTCCTCGACACTCTTGTCCAGAGACTGACCTCTGATCCGTGAACATCGTCTCCTCTGTGTTCACTGAAGTTTTTATTGTTATTGTTGTTGATTTGAGATGAACAGAGGAATCATCTTCAGATGTTTGAGCAGCTGATTTCACCAGTTTATGTTCCTTTTATCAGCAGCTCAAAGTTTTCCCTCTATAATATCTCAGTCAGACTGTTTCTGAGACCTGAGAGGAAAAAAAAAACTTCATTATCAGATTTATTTTTAGCTCTTAATGAACTTCAACATCCAACAGAGGAACATCTCCAGTCTGACAGCTCTGCTCTCAAGTTCTCATGTCAGCGTGGATCATAAACGTGTGTGTGTGTGTGTGTGTGTGTGTGTGCATGTTTAAGTGTGTGAAAAGACCGTGACATCTTGCATGTGCAGATCAACAAAGACCTTCATGATTCAGATCTGAGTGTGTCTCTGTGGAGGGTTCCCATGGATCTGCATCTCATATGTTGGCCTGTGATCTCAGTAACATATGCACACACACACACACACACACACACACACACACACACACACACACACACACAGACCCCTGACCCCTGACCCCTCTGTCTGGAGCACACAAAGCCTCTTAATAACTCGTATGTGGTCATTTTGCATGATAAAGTCTCTCACTCACACACTCTCACTCATTTGCATTTTACACACGTCTGTATCCATATCATCAAGAAAGCCCAGAGGTCAGAGGTCACACACACACACACACACACACACTCACTCAGAGTTTAGACATGTAAATGTGTGTGATGTGATTATATGTTGTCTGGGTTGTTGCAGCTGGAGGATGTGAGCGTCTGTCCGTCTCTCTCTGCAGCTGTCTCTCTCTCCCTCTCTCTCTCTCTCTCTCTCTCTCTCTCCATCTGTAACCTGCTCTCAGAATTTCAGCTTTGCATAAGAACATTTGTGCCGCCGGGGTCAAAGGTCGTGAGAGATTCCTGTCCTGGTTGGAGCAGGATGAAGCTGATTCGATCGTAGACTCGATAAATCCTGCAGGAGGTTTGAGAGCGTCCGACTCTGAACGCAGCTGAACATGAAAGTGAGAATAAAGTCAGAGAGACCAAAACCACAGCTCTGATTCTGAGTTCATGGTGACACCTCAGAGTCTAGACCTAGATAGATAAGTATAGATAAGTATAGATAGATAGATACTCACTCAGCAGGTCGGTGTCAGACGTCAGAAGTGTCTACAACTGCTGCTGGGCATTTTGGAGAAACAAGAAGATGGAGCATCGTACAGCGTTGTTTTTGTCCGACATGATGGACGCGCTACTTTTTCTAAAGAGGAGACCAACGCTACTCCTCTACTCTGGGGTTAGGGGGGCGTGGCATTGTCCGATCATTCTCCGACTACGCTGGTTACCTGGTCGAGAAAATCGAATTCCAATCTCATTATCTGGGTGTCTTAATCAGAGTTCTCAAACTCAGATTATAGTCGGACTAAGGTGTTTACATGACCTTCAGTTGTCCGGTCTTAATCGGAATAAGACGATAATTCGGTTTTCTCGTTGCATGATTTCTAATTCTTCGTTGAAAGGACAACTGGACTTAGTTGAGACGTTTCGTCCAGTTGTCCTTTCCATGCGTAGATTCCCACTCCAGAGTCATGTGACTAACCTGTTGGACAAAGTTGGTTTGAAATCATCTGAAAACCTAAGGTGTTTACGTGACCTTCAGTTGTCCGGTCTTTATCAGAATAAGGCGATAATTCGTTTTTTTTTCGGGTGTCATGGAAACGGACTGATTGAAACCATCAGACTTGGACTAGGATCTGCTCTGTGAGGTCAGATGGAGTCTTTAAAAATGGTGAACTATCCCTTTAACTCTCTTTAACCGGAGAGCAGAGCAGAGAGCAGGCTGACAGATGTGTGTGTGTGTGTGTGTGTGTGTGTGTGTGTGTGTGTGTGTGTGTGTGTGTGTGTGTGTGTATGTGTGTGTGTGTGTGTGTGTGTGTGTGAGTGTGTGTGTGAGTGTGTGTATTTGTGTGTGTTTATGTGTGTGTGTGTGTGTGTGTGTGTGTGTGTGTGTGTGTGTGTGTGTGTTTCTCGCTGCTCAACTTTTTAATTGAAAAAGAAGTTGCACTAAATGTCAACTGACACACTCACACACACACACACACACACACACACACACACACACACACTGACAGCTGCCTGGCCCATTAGCTCACACATCTCCATGGCGACCAAAGTCGACCCCCAGAATACTGATGAGGGTTCAGACGGGGTTCTGCTGAGCTCCTCTGAGTCCTTTATTGTCCAATCAGAGTCCAGAACTCCGGTCCACTGCAGGACAGGTGAGACCAGAGGACACCAGGGGCGGGGCTTCACCTGAGTGCAGGTATCCCAGCATGCAACAGGAGGAGTTATCTTGATGTTCAGGCTCCTCTGTTCCTCTAAAACTGGACTGTAACGTCGGTTCGGTCCGGTCCTCCTCGGACTCTGAGTTTATGGTTACACAGACAGGAAGTAGTATTATGACTGTGACATCACTCAGTGTGTA